TGAGACTTTGCCAAAGTCCTTTATCAGTGCAAGGTTTTTGGCAGATTCTCTTGTGTTTTCAAGGTATACAATCATGTCATCTGCAAAGAAAGATAGCTTGACTTCCTCTTTTCCTATTTGGATACCCCTGATGGTCTTTTCTTCTCTGATTGCTCTAGTTAGGACTTCCCAAACTATGTTGAACAGGAAGGGTGAGAGTGGGCATCCTTGTCTTTTTCCAGTTTTCAGGAGAAATGGTTCCAATTTTTATCTGTTTAGGAATACGAAAAGGTTTTTTTTAATGATTGTAACTGTATGGGCACTTACCATGAATGAAGTTTGCAAAACTGGAACTCACTCGAATGATTCAGTGAGTGAGGGGTGAGTTCATGTGAAGACTTAAAACACTACTTTTCACTAGTGTGAATTTTATAAATTCTACTCTTAGGCTACACTAAATTTGTTTGAAAATATTTTAATTTCTTCAAGAACAAATTAATCGTAACTTACTTTTTTTTTTTCAGATGGAGTCTCACTCTGTTGCCCAGGTTGGAGTGCAGTGGCACACTCATGGCGATTGTAGCCTTGACCTGCTGGGCTCAGGCAATCCTTCCATCTCAGCCTTCCAAGTAGTTGGAGCTACAGGCACATGCCACCATGCCCAGCTAAATTTTTTTTTTTATTGTAGAGATGAGGTCTCACCAATTTGCCCAGGCAATCCTCTCACCTTGGCCTCCCAAAGTGCTGGGATTATAAATGTAAGCTATCATGTCTGGCCTTAGCTTACTATTAATATGTTTTTGCTTTCTAAGCCTATTGATTCTTTTAAAACGTTTTTACTTTTTTCTAATAGCAGTTTAGAACACAATCACACTGAACATCTGTACAAAATATTTGTCATTATATTCTTGTTATATAAGTTTCTATTTTATTTATTTATTATCATATACTCTTGCTGACTTGACCATTTTATTATGGCCTTCTGTGTGCCTTTTTACACTTTTTGTCTTAAAGCTTATTTTATCTAATATAGGCCTAGCTACTCCTGCTTTGTTTTGGTTTCTATTTGCATGGGATATCTGTATTCTATTCCTTCACTTGGTCTAAGTATGCCCTTAGAGGTGAAGTGACTGTTTTGTAGGCAATATATAGATAACAATTGATTTTTGTATCCATTCCCATCACTCTATGTCTTTTGATTAGAAAATTTAATCTATTTTTATTCAAAGTAATTATTGATAGGTGAGGATTACTATTGCCATTTTGTTAATTGCTTGCTAGCTGTTTTGTAGATACTTTCTTCTTCTCTTACTGTGTTTATTTGTGGCTAATTGGTTTTCTGTAGTAATATGTTTTGATTCTTTGTTTTTTATTTTTAGTGTATGATAGGTTTTTCTTTGTGGTTACCAAAAAAGCTTACAAAAAATATTTTATCATTATAACAGTTTATTTTAAACTGATAACAACCTAACTGTGATAAAATGAGAAAAAAAAAAGAAATCTCTATACTTGAACTTCACTCTACCCACACATTCTGAATTTCCGATGTCACAGTTTACATCTTTTTCTATTTTGTATGCCTTAATAATATATCATAGTTGTTTTGTTTTGTTTTGAGTTGGAATCTCACTCTGTCACCCAGGCTGGAGGGCAGTGGTATACTCACGACCACCCCAGCGTTGACCTGCTGAGCTCCAGTGATCCTTCTGCCTCAGCCTTCCAAGTAGCCAGAACTACAGGCACATGCTACCACACTGGGCTAATTTTTTATTTATTATAGAGACTAGGTCCCACCAAGTTTCCCAATCTGGTCTCAAACCCGTGGCCACAGGCAATCCACTTGCCTCAGCCTCTCAAAGTTCTGGGATTACAGGCTGAGCCACCAAGCCCAGCCATAGTTGTTATTTTTAACAGTTATAACTTTTAGCCTTCATACCAAAGAGATAATTGACTTACATACCACAATTATAGTATTAGAGTATTCTGAATTTCACTGTCTACTTACTTTTATCAGTGAGTTTTATTCTTTCACAGTTTTCATGCTACTAATTCGTGTTTTTTTTTCAACTAGAACTCCATTTAGCATTTCCCATAAGACAGGTTTGGTGGCGAATGAACTCCCTCAGCTTTGGTTTGTCTTAGAAAGTATTTATTTTGCCTCCATTTCTGCTTTACTGGGTACAGTATTTTAGGCTGACAGTTTTTGGTGGCATTTTGTTTTGTTTATTTTACTTTAAACCTTTGACAACATCATCCTACTCTCTCTTGGACTGTAAGGTTTCTGCTACAAAGTCTGCAGGTAGATGTAGTGCAGCTCCTTTACACCCAAACTGGAATTTATTTATAAAAATATGTATTTATTCGTATATGTTTATAGTTCAGTCACCTTCAGAGTATACTCCATTTAATGCAATACACCTCTTGGGATTTTTTTTTTTTTTTTTTTTTTTACTGTTCAAAGCCTTTTTTGAACTCCTTAGTGTTGATGCCTTTTAGTGCTTCTGTTATTTTTGGTTCACCTCGTCACATCAGGAAAATGTTTCCTTTCAAGGCCTTTTTGCATGCTGGGTAACAAAAAAAAAGTCACACGAGGTGTGAGTGTATGAATAGTGAGGGCAGAACACGAGAGTTATGCTGGTTTTGGTCAGAAAAGCTGAACACTCAGTATGTAGACAGGTACACTCATAAATCACCCATCACTAAATGGGTAAATGCAATGAAAAAATTTTCCAAAAAAACTTGTTGAAGACAAACTGAAGCTTCTCACAACAATTCTAGCTGGTACAGGGATGCTGATGGGTTCCTAGAGTACTTGCCCAGTATGGAAAGTCTGTACTACATGGGGCCTGTCCTCCAAAAAATTTCCAGGTTTTTTGGGGGTCCCCTTTGTTTATGTTATTTGCATCCTTTTACTTGCTGCTTTTGGAATTATCTGTTTTGTCTTTGATATATGAAAGTTTGATTATAATATGTAGTTTTATTTGTAGTGAATCTTATTGAAGAACTTTGGCCTTTCTGTACCTTGATATTTACCTATACATCTCTGGGTTTGAATATTTTCCTGCCATTATTTATTCAAATAGGTTTTCTACTCCTATATCTCTTTCCTCTTGCTATTAAACAGTGACTCATACATTTACTGTTTTGATGCTATCATATAAATACCATGAACTTCCTTTATTTTTTTCATTGTTTTTCTAGTTTTTCCTCTCAATGTAAAATTTCACATAACCTGTCTTCAAGTTCACAAATTATTTATTCTGCTACTGATGTTCCCTATTACACTTTAAAAATTTTTTAATTATATTTTTCAGCTCCAGTAATTCTTTTTGATTTTTAAAAACTATTTCAATCTCTCTGTTAATTTTTTTGTTCTGGTCATTTATTCTTTTCTTCATTTTGTTGAAATGTGTCTTTGTATTTTCTTGATGTTGTAAAGCTTCCTTAAAACAGCTATGTTTAATGCTTTGTCAGGCAATGCATACATCCTTTTCTCTTTTTGGTCAGTCACTGGCACTCTATTTTGTCCATCTGGTGGTCATATTTCCCTGACTATTCTTAATCATTGTGGTCATGGTCAATGTCTGCACATTGACAAAGTAGGCACTTGAGTCTTCTCAGTCTGACTCTGTCTGGGAACATTCTCCAAAAGTAAGTCTGTCTAGAAATTCCTGGCAGGCTGGCTGTTGTGGCTCCTAAGCCTGTACCATGGCCACTGTTGCAATGCTAGGGAGCACAGCCTGGGCTGTCACCCAATCCTCTGGCTACTGTCATTTGCATGCCATCGTAGGTCATTGGGAGCCCAAGACTGCTGTAGTCAGCCAATGGTGATGCAAGTCCTTCTCACAGAGAAATGGGTTCCCACCTGGTATTGGAGCAGGTCTACGAGGCACAGTTCATGTGTTCTGGTCTGGAGTTGGGGCAATGGGGGTCTGCCCAATGCTGGGTTTAACTGTGGCAGTTTCCGTTTGGGGGTTTAAGGCAAAGTCCTACACTTGCTTGTCTCTGTTTTCCCCAGTCAAACAGTATCTCTCTCTGCACTCTGCTGGCTGGGGTAAGAGGCAGGATGAGGGTAATGTAATACTGTATTGTCTAACCTCTTCAATGTGTCTTTTCTTGTTATCATGGTATAACCAGGTACTGTGATCTAGCACCTGATTTCCTTATCTCTTGTGAAGGTCTTTTTTATGGAAGGATAAATATTCAAATGGATATTTCTGTGAAAGGACATTTGCTGCTGAGTTCTATTCTGCCATTTTGCTCCATCTCTCCTGAATATCATGATTCTTGTATTGTTTTACTCAATTTTTAAATTTTTCTCATTATGCAGATTATCTTTAGTGTCCATAAAAATATTTTATGTCATACAACATAGAAGCACTCAAAGGAAGCAGCAGACAAACTGCTTGGTCTTTGATGTTTTTTCCCAACAATATTCAAAATGATATCACTATTTAAAAATAACAATAATAATAATATGCACATATGACATAGAGTTTTTAAAATTAAGTAATATAAAAGATATGTGGAAGCTATATAGATATACACATGTACAAACACATATGTAATGGGGAAATGATCTTAAAATCATAGAAAATTACAGAAAACTATTGATGAAGTGATGAGGGAATCAGTCCCCCTTTGAAGTAATAAGAAGTTGATATTGGTATTCAAAATTTTAAAAATCTGAACTAATACTACTGTGAGTACCTCTGTTTTCAAAAAGTATATTTAAACTGCTTTTGTGTGGTCATCTACTTATGAGTCTAAGACTCTTCTAATGCCTGTGAATTTTTAATCAATTTCTGGAAAGTCTTAAGGATAACACTCTTATGTTGTACTTATATATGAAAGAGCACTTGTAAACCTGATGTATCATAAAGTGGTGTGAAGTGACCATGCAACTCTTGGCTATCAAATATACTACTCAAATATTTCAGCAAAATAATTCTTTAAGCGAATGGTTAACAAAAGTCATATTTCAAAAAATTTCAAATTTGAAGTTTTATTTCCACAATACCGAGTGCCTGACTCTATGGTTACTTCTGTATTGTTTTATCATGGGTTTTCTATCACTCATAAATCTGAGGGAAAAATAATTTTAAAATTGATGTATTCATTAACTGAATATACAAAATGCACTTGATACTGATATTAAATGATCTTTTAAAATATACATACTATTATTCATATACAAAATATAGGCCTAAAGGACTTCAACAAAAATTGTTAGTTTGGAGATTTTAAGGTTCATCCAAATGAGGGAGTAGTTTCCATCTCATTGTCGTATCAACTTCTTCATCCAAATTTTCTACCTCCTGCTCCTTAGAAAACTCTAAGAGTACCTAAATAGGTGGAAAAGGAGAAGGAAAAGGAATTATTGTGTTGTTTATACTCTTCCAAATGAACAGGAAAAATGCATGTTGCTTCCATGTGACATTTATAGGGATGACAGAAAGTCAGACAACTTGACTTACCTTTTCCAGTGTACACTGAGAGAGGCTGTATTCCTCCAAGCTAAAGTTGTGCTTTACTGAAGGGGAAAAAAAGGCCAGTAGTAGACACTTGCAATTTATTACCAAGTGTTTTTTGTCGTATAAAATAAAATGCAAATTATTAATATAAGCGGAAGATAGAGACCAACAAGCGAATACTTGATGGAAAGATGAAATAATAAAAGCCATAAAGAGTACATATTAAATTAATCTTGATATTAGAATTTTCTCCTATTATGTTTTGATAATATATGCTAAGGTAGCCGGGCTCGGTGGCTCAGCCTGTAATCCCACGCTTTGGGAGGCCGAGGTGAGTGGATTGCCTGAGCCCGCGGGTTCGAGACCCACCTGGGCAACTTGGCAAGATCTCATCTCTACAATAAATTAAAAAATTAGCCAGGCATGGTAGCGCGCACCTGAAGGCTGAGGCGGAAGGATCGCCAGAGCCCAGCAGGTCAAGGCTGCAGTGGCCTGAAGCGTGCCACTGCACTCCAGTCTGGGCGACTGAGTAAGACTCCAACTCAAAATATATATATATGTATACACACACACACACACACACACACACACACACACACACACACACACACATATGCTAAGGTATTTAGTGTTTACATCTTTGGAAACTATATATATTTTTTGAAGAACTACATCAGCGATTGATATACTCTTATATATGAGGAAGATTACAGTCCCATCCCACCCCCTTTAAAAGGTCCCAATACTCCCTTCAGCCAGTTCATTTGTCACACCATCTCTCTTCTGGGCTTCCACACCAGGAAGCCTGCATGACAGTAGCCACCGAATTTACATATCCATAAGTCCTCAGTTCACCACTTAAAGACTCTCCCATGAGCAAAGTCCCATTAGGTGCCAGAAACAGAACAGTAAAGAAAATAAGCAAATACGACTGCTTTTGTGTCGTTTGCATTTTAGTAGGAAGGATTAGTAGCATTAAATACACAAGCACTTAAATACATAACAACGCACACGATGCCAGTGGCTGTTAAGAAACAAACCAGGTGAAGAAAACAGGGAGTGTGCTGGGAACTCTTTTTTACAGAGAGTCAGGAAACGACCACAGGTATAAGGTGAGTGACAATGGAATGGAACCTTAAAAAAAAGGAAGAAACCTAAATATTTAGGAAGGAGTATTCCAGAAAGAAAGACCAGCAAGTGCAAAGTCCTGAGGAAGGCGCATACATGTCTGATAACATCTAGGAAGAGCTGGAAAGTCATCTTGTCTAAAGCAGACAGAGCAGAGCAGAGATGTATATTCTGTCAGACATGATGAAGCCAGGTACTGCTCGAGGCAAAACAGATTAGCTCATTTAATCCTTCTAACACCCTGGCCAAGTGGACACTGATATTATCCCTTATTGCAAATGAGCCATGTAGATGTGCAGGGAATGAGCACTGCACCCAGTGTCTCCCAGCTAGTAAGCAGCAGCATGAAAATAAGAACTCAAAAGATAGGCTCTAGAGTTTGAACTCTTCACGACTATACTACACCGAGAAATTACACGATGGTCTGCTGTTAAGAATGACCCATCTGAAAGCCAAGAAAAAAAGAAGGTGACAGGAGAGAGTGATCAACTTCATGTAGCAAGAGGATTTACGCACACAACACCTGGGACAGCCTCAGCCATTATTTATCGTAACAGGAAGGTCAAACATACCAGCACAGACATGAGGAGGCTGATGAATGGATGAAAGTATTCTCTGTTGCTTTTATTTCATTAGTGAAACATACAGCAAGGGCATCAACTCAGGGAGAAAAGTGTGAAGGAGGTGGATACGTAAGAAAAGAGGCGGCGTGAAGTACTAACTTAGGACACATGGTGTGGCTGGACTGTGTCCAGGCAGGCAAAGCAGGCCAATCTAAGTGGGTTTTAAGGTCAATGCCGTGGGTTTACAGGAAGAACAGCCGAGCTCGGCTGTGTGTTTGCTGCGTTTCCAGTCCCTGCACCAGAGAGTGACTTCTTTCCAGAGAGGTGGATTAACCAGATTGGGTTAAAACCACCACTATCCATCATTAGAATTCTTAAAAATCATGCCCTGCAGGACCTATTTTTAAAATGCATCACATAATTATTTACCATTAAATCATTATCTAAATACTAACTGATTCTTCAAAAATTGTATTTGAATATGGACACTTACCGGTCTCTAATTTGTGGAAGGCCTGAGACAGAGGGTAAACATCCGCCAGGGGCAGCTTATAGGTCAACAAGGAGGAAGACCTGAAAATGTGAAAGTGTCGTATTCAACTCCGAGTTTCAAGAGGGAAAAACAAGCATCAAAGTAAGTATTGATATTATCAACAACTTCAAAATAACTTTCAAAATAAAAGTCATGCAAATTAATTTGTGATGTAAATATGACGTTAACTAATTTACTAATGAAAATTTTTGTAAATGATTATTGGAAACTGGTTGTTATATGCGGTTCTCCTAGTAACAATTCAGTATAATTAAGTATATGTTCGTTTTATGCAAAACTTTTGCTTGTTAAAAAAACAGATATTCTGAACTGTTACATTGATCAATTCAACTTAGCTGGGAATGAACTCAAAAATAAAAGTTCATTCTTGTCACCCAAAAGTTAACTTGTTTTTTAAAAAATACACATGTATGTACACAAAAGTGAATTCATGACTATTTTGTAAAGCTATAAATAGTGGCAAGTCTTGGAGATGGAGGTTGATATTGGAGAAAAGTCTGATAAGGAAGATTTTTTTATTTTTTGACTTTGGAAGTTCTTTTAGGTCCAGAAGTAAGGAAACCAGTAGGGCTGTGGCTGCCAATCAAAAATCCTTTGAGTCCTCTTTCCTTCAGAAAGCTATCTTGTAAAGAGAGATATGAGTTTGGCAGAGTTGGAAATAACTGTAGAGGAAGGACTTAAAAGACTTTAAAAACTTCCCTGATTTCTGAGAGAGAGAGCTGGAATTGATTTGGGGTTTCCTGTTTCCATCTGCTTTGTCTGTGTGTATGACCTCATGCCCTATTCTCAGGGTTCAGTGCATCCAAAGGTTGACCCTAAGGCTGGCCAGAAATTCAGGACTGGCCCTCTTCAGACCAGCTTCTGCTCTCTCTGTCTTACCATTTATGATCTTCCCATCATCAAAACTGCTTCTCTGAGGTGTGACACCAGAAGTCTGAGTGGGACTAAGGTACATGCCTGGCATATACCCTAGATAATCCTGTTACATTTATACATTTACACTGCACTAAATTAAAAATAGTAGTTTTTATGTCCTGTTTCTTTGATGTGCTTAACCTTCTAAGGAATTTCAAAGCATTCTCTCTCCCATTTTCTTTCCCACCCCCAAGTAACATACAGACATCACACACACACACACACACACACACACACACACACACACACACCCCTTCCATTCCCTCTTTTAAGTTCTGAAAAATTAAAGGGAGACTCTTTGATTATCTCAATTGCTGTGTGTTTCCTATGGAAGGAATTCACCCTAAATAGTCACGTATTTTAACTTTTAAAGCTAGGCATGGTGGCTGATGCTTGTAATCCCAACACTTAGGGAGACTGAGGTGGGAGGATTGCTTGAGCCCAGGAGTTCAAGAGTAGCCCAGACAACAACATAGTGAGACCTTGTCTCTACCAAAAATTTTAAATAATAGCCAGATGAGGTTGCATGTGTCTATAGTCCCACTTACTCAGGTGGCTGAGGCAGAAGGATTGCCCAAGTTTAGGAGACTGAGACTGTGGTGAGCCATGACTGTGTTACTGCACTCCAGCCTGGGTGACACAGTGAGATACTAACTCAAACAAATAAAATAAAATAAAATAAAATAAAACATAAATATTTATATCTTTTAAATGATTATGAGCAGAACCAGGGAGGATGCCATGGGTTCCACTGTGCTGTCGTGTGTGTTCTGGTCATCAGAAATTCCTTGACCTTAATCTTTCCAAGTCCGCCTCTGGAGCTGGGTATAAGACTGGGATGTCCAAGGAGGCTATACACAGGCAGCCCCAGGGCACAGTTTCCTGGGTAGATCTCAAAAATCTTAAAATTGAAAGACTCAACAAATCAGCTTTCGAGGTCCCTAGCTTTTATCATGAAGTCAAATCATCATGACGTTCTCACAGAGCAAAAAAGGAACCCCTGAGTGGGTAAAACATACATATTTCTTATAATCAAATGTTCTTCTCACCTTTCCTGCTGTGCAGCCTGTGGGAAAATCTTCACAATCTCGGTGTGGACCGATGTCAATTGAGAAGGTTCTTTCACTTTTAGTTCTAGAATGTAATCCTTGCCAAGTTTGTTTTTCAGGTGTTGGATAGAGCCAATGCATCTGTGGGCAAGAAAGGGAACATGCTGGAAAAACCACTGCCTTTGATTTTTTTTTATGTCATTCTTAAGTTTCAAATGTAGGGAAGAGTGTCACTGAGGAAGCCAGAAGGAAGGCTCCCAGCTGCCCTGAGTGACTTTGCCCATTCCCCAGAGACTCTTGCCTTGAGCATCGGGTGCGGGCTCTACAGAGACACCTACCTTAGCCTTCCAGACACCATGATGGCCACACGGTCACACAAGGCCTCAGCCTCAGCCAGGTTATGGGTGGCCAGGAGGACACCCGCAGCTGTGGTTTTCATGGCTGCCTGGAGTGTCTGCCTGAAGCAAGCCAAGAAATTAACACATTTAAAACAAAAAAGTGAGGAACAACAACAAAAAAAGATAAAATATATGAATGATGTGCAGATCCTAATTCAAAAAAGTGGACCCATGTGATACTCTCTGGGTTTTTGATATCAGGAAAAAAATTAAAAACATTTTTAGATGCGTGAATTGTATTGTTAAGTTTTAAAAAGAATTTTTATCTTTTAGAGATACTCACTAAAGTATTTAGAAATAAAAGGATGTGCTGTTTCATATTTCATTCAAAACGACTGAAGGGTAGAAATGGGCAGTGAGCAGGGGTATATACGGATGCAAGAAGATTGGCCTGCTGTTGGTAACTTGAACCTGGGTGATGGGAATCATAGATTCAAAACTATTCTCTGTACCTTTGTGTGAAATGGCCATTAAAAAGTGTAAGTTGAGAAAAAAATCGGACAGTCACCAATATGAAACTAGATGGAAGATTTTATTAGTCCAAAGAGTAAGTCCCAGACAGAAAAGGAAGAATTAAAAAAAAAACCAAAACTGTGAAAAACAAATTTGGAAGGTCAGGTAAAAAAGGAAAAATAGGAAATGGGGAAATTGTGTCAGGAAGTAATAGTTTCTAAGGAAGCAAAGTAGAAGGAAAAAAGGAAACAATTATAGACATCTCAATACTCAAAAGGCACAGCAGTTTTTTCTAGTTTAAAAGTCCGAATTAGAAAACTCCAACAAAATATTTCAGTTTTTTTAACCTGAATACCACACAAATATGATGCAGATTAGATCCTCTACTTGTTAAATCTGTGTTCTCCTAATAATATAAATGATGTCCACCGAATCAGAAACCAGTGGTTTCTAGGAGAATCAACCTAGATCGGCTTTAAAATGTACCTTGGTGCAGCGCGTAGCTCGGGGTTCTGGGATGTAGGAGGATACTCACCACATTTGCTGCTGCCCTGGGGGATCCACGCCTGTAGATGGTTCATCCAGGAGTAGGAAAGGTGAGTTTCCCAGGATGCTCAGCACAAAGCACAACTGCAACGCAGATAAACACCCCTGTGTGCTTGCCACACTGCGGCAGCCCTCAGAAGAGCACGAGATGCCACACCTACCTTTCTCGCTGCTCCTGCTGTTAACTTCTGCGCAGGAACATTCAGCTGCTCATGCAGGTTGAAAGCATCCACTAACCTGATGGAAAACCCGATGAGAATGTCTGGTCAAGAGAGGAGTTTTTGGAAAGTCCAAGCAAAAAGAAGAGTAACAACACTGGAGGGAAGCTTGGCAATGTTATCAACCAAATAACCCATGATAAAAGGAAAGAAAGACCTATTTACTTTGAAGCATGATGAATTTTTTTCCCTCCTCCGAAGTTTTTAAGAAAATTGGGATTCCAAAGGAAAAACAAAATGAATGATTACCCCATCTCCAGAGATTTTTAAATTAGAAAACTGAAATAGATGGTGATTCGTTTACTTATTTTTTGTCAACCATTTATACAATCTTTTTTTGGGAAAGAGCCCTCATTCGGGAATGAAGGCAACTGGGTATTGTCCCCCATTCCTGCCCTTTCACTGATGCTCTGAAAGACAGAGACATCGTTTTCACTCTCCGTGCTTTATTAGCGGGTTCATCATCCAGGGTACAGCACCCTGCCTCTGACACATAGGGGTCACAGGCCCTGTCCATACCGTGTGATGGCAGCCTTTGCACTCTCTTTCTTCAGCCCCTTTACGGCCGCATATACCTCCAGGTGTTCCCTCATTGTCAGTACGGGCCACAGCACATTCTCCTGGGGACAGTACCCCAGGAACTTGACCGTGTCATCTCCCTGGTGACCTGAAATTGAACTGCATCCTTTCAGTTCCACCTGAAAAGATAAAACAGCTTTAGAAAGGCAGGTAGCCTTTTTTTCCAGGGGTGCAATTACTCAATAAACTGACATAGTAGTAAGTGCCTAAATTGTTTGACTATCAAATAAATATCATAGAAATTACTTCATATATTTATTATAAAAAACTATGTACTGATATAAAATAGTTTTACACGCGAGAGGAAAAAGACTTAATAAGCTCAGGTAGTTCCTGAGAAACTGTAACGAAGAAAAAAGTCTTCAACTTCTGGTGACATTCCAGTTTTTGTAATAATCACTTGATGCCCAATAAAATAATGAAAGAGAAACAATAAATTTATCAAGAAGACGAAAGAACTATAGTCTCCCAAAGATACAGTCTGTATCATGAAATTTCTATTTTGGGAATGGAAGCCAATTCCTCATTTTTCATTACCTTTCCAGCCGTTGACTTTGTGATTCCAGATATGATTCTAATAGATGAACTTTTACCAGCACCATTGGGACCTAACAATCCCAAAATTTCACCTGGAAGAAAGAACCAGACTATCAATACTGGTAGGGACAGACTAATTACAATTACCCTTTCTCTTCAATGAGTTCTGCTGAGACAGGGGTTCCCAATTCCTGGGCCATGGACCAGTACCAGTCCATGGCCAACCAGGAACTGGGTCACACAGTAGGAGGTGAGTGGCGGGCGAGCGGGCAAAGCTTCATCTGTATTCACAGCTGTTTTCCATTGCTCGCATTACAGCCTGAGCTCCACCTGCTGTCAAATCAGCACTGAAAAGCCTGCTTCCATTTCCAAGATCCTGTCTTTGCGAAGCAGGCTTTTCTGCAGTGACAGCAACCAAAATGAGATTTTGGAGTAGTCTGGACATAAGCAACACAGTTCAGGTGTCACTGTCTCCCATCACCCCCCCGATGGAAGTGATGGGAGACAGCCCAGATGGAAGTGACGGGAGACAGTCTAGATGGTTGCTGTCTAGTTGCAGAAAAATAAGCTCAGTGCTCCCGCTGATTCTGCATTATGGTGCGTAGTATAATTATCTCATTACCTGTTGCAATGTAATAATAATAGAAATAAAGTGCACAATAACTGTCATGCTTGAATTGTCCCCAAACCGTTCCCTTGCCCCAGCCTGATCCATGGAAAAACTGTCTTCCATGAAACCAGTTCCCAATCAATGCCAAAAACATTGGGGACCACTGTTCTGAGATATGTACACCTCTCAACATCATTTTGAAATGTATAATGTATTCCGTCTATAGCATCAAATCGTGTTCTTTAATTTCTGTAATTACAGGAATATTAGTGCAAAGCTCGTGAATTTGTGTCATTCAATATATCTGTCTTTATTCCCCTCCAGATTCCTTATTAAAGATGTACTCAAATGTCTTCAATAGTAGATGGCTGATGCACTGAGTAGTGTGTAAATGAGTCCTAAACTTGGGAAACAGGGACCTTTTCTTCATCCTGAATTCAACCACCTGTATCCAAGTTACCATCATCTTTTCATCTGAACTGATGTGACAGCATCTTAACTTGCCCCTCCCACAAGATTTACACACAAATAACAGTGAGTATGCAGTCTTTTCGAAATATAAGTTAAATCATGATGCAAGTCTCCAAAGGCATTCTACAAACTTCCAATAGCATTCTACTAACACGTTGTAAAATACAAACTCCTTGCTGTTTTAAAAATCTGTACCTGATCTGTATATCTGGCCCTGCTCACCGCTGACTTCATTCCTCCCACTCGTGGACATGTCCACTGACCTCTTTGAGACTCAACCACTCCAAATGTGTCTGAGTCCTGTCTTTGCTGCTTCCTCTTCCTGAATGCTCTTATTCCTTAATACTCACACAGCTGGCGCCATCATGTTACTCAGATCTCGTTTTAAATATCACTGCTTAAGCGAGATCTTCCCTGACCCTAAGCAAATGCAGCCCAAGTCACTCATGCCATTTCACATATTTCAATGTTCCACACAGAACTTGCCTAACGCACGATGCTTCTCTTGATAAGTTATTTTTATGTGTGAATCCCCTCCTAGGATGCAAATGCCATGAGGTCTGAAAGTTTGTCTTTTTCCTTCACAATTTTATTTTCAGAGTTAAAACAGTCCCTGGCACACTAGAAAACAAATATGCTAAATAAAGGAAGGAAGGCGTGTTGCAGCAATAAAAAGGTGCCTATGACATCGATGTTCAGTGGGAATTTCTAAAAATAGTGGTGGGTTTGAAATTGGTTATTCCAGACCTTTTTTAACGCAGAAAGAGATATTCCTTGCTGCTACTTTCTTCTTCCTCTTTGAAAAGCAACTTTTCCTCTGGCCTGTATATTCTTTGTGTAGACAGCTGGCAATTATAACTGGTTTCTAGAAGAGATGACGGCATGATTTTCCTCTTACATTTCAGAGACTTTAGTTCCCTACTGGAAATCTTCATGCTCTATGTCATAAACCAAATCACATTTTGAGTTTAGAGCAATTCATGCTGCTTCTTATAAATGTAATATGCACTTATTAATGTAGAAGATATATCTTCCTTCTAAATAGACTGAGAAAAACAGCATATTCTGATGGAAGTCAGCTCATTGCTTTGCCAGACAGAAGTGGCTAAGCTCATGGAAACATCACATCTAAGTCAAAGAAGAGAATAATCCTAAAAATCTTAATCTTGATTTAGCATTTTATAACAAATTCAACTCGAACCTTTAACCCACGAGGTCTTGTTTGGTTTTGAAATTATAGCTACAATGATCAAAACCCCTTTTTTTCCTCCAAAGAAGAATTAAGTTATTATGTCTCGTGTTCTTTTAGCTTCCAGGACACTCCAAACAAGTGTCTACATACTGAAGGATTACACAAATATGCCAAACTCCAAACTTTTTACGTGGAAAGCAGCTGTCAAATTCTGTTTTTGACATTATTGGGAACTTCCTTAAATATCCATTTTGTGACCTGTTTTTCTACCTCGTCTAAGTCTGAAGTGGTCAGCGCAGTTGCCGTTCTTATTCTTTCTGCTTGAACATCTTCATCTTCATCTACAGGTTCTTCTGGATTTGGTTGAGCGTCTTTAATTTGGTGGGAAATTCTGTGGAGAAAATGAAATGGTATTCTACTTGTCAAAGTCATATCAAAAGTTGGTGTCCCTGTGACCTTACCGTTTCTTCTCTTTCAGTGAAGAGGAGAAGATGTGATGATTCTGCCAATGTTGCTTCTGCTTTTGCCAAGAACTCACATCCCACTAACCAGAATCACTTTCTGGGTGGGGTTGCCATTCTTCCAGTAAGCATCTTTGACCCTTTCAAGTCTGTCAGCAAGTAATATCCTTCCTCTTTAAAATTCGGGTCACTCTCATTTCCCCTGTTCACTAGGGGCCCATCTTACTCAGGCCAGATAATTTTTCCAGCACCTTCTACTGCTCACCCTTCCTAGAGTTCCTCTACTTTTGAAATACTCTGAACTAGGTTGCTAACCGTTCCATCCCATCCCTTTTCAAGGATGTGCAGACATCTTGTATAAGAGAATGGCATATTTGGGAAATCATTATATTTCTGAGGAAGTGAACATTGCTTAAAGCCAGAACTCTGCCTGGGAGATCCATTTCTTGACAGAAAGCCAGCAACCCACTGATCAAAATGACACTCATCATGCAGCTTCCATTGTAAATGTAAATCCCTGTTAACAAGTTGATAGTACAGACACTCTCTAGACGTGTTAAAATATGATATTAAGTATGGAGTTAAACTTTATCCCAACCTGAAAACAGGATCCTTTCGCATTGCTTTCTTTCCACATTTTAGTTCCATGCATCTTAGAACAAAAGCAAACAGCAAAGCCTGAAAGTAAGGCTAGGAACAAAGAAAACTAGTTATATTTTGGCATAAATTCGCAAATACCATTTAAATATTTGGATTCAATGGCTGATGTTTTGTTTTCCATTTAAATAGTTATGAATCATTCCTATAAATTATGGGAGAAAGTCTAGCTTCACATTCACACTCCAGCCTAGTGCAGACTCACGCCACACACATTGTTTATCAGTAGGCTGTGTTTGCTCCAGCTTCAAAATTAACCATGATGGAGTGAAGATCATGAGAGTCTCACCTGGATGACGGCAACACCTTCCTGCCTGGGCTCCCTCTGCTCTTCCTGCCCTAAACACCCATTCTCAACACGGTAACAAGAGCTACTTTTTAATACATAACTCTGATCATATCACGTTGCTTCAAACCTTTCAAGACTCTTCTTCAGTCATTCAAAGTAGAATCAAAGTCCTTAGAGTAACGCAGAACAGCCCTGGAACCCCTTCTCCTGACCCCACACTTGACCCACATTACCATTACTTCTGTCACCATCATTCCTACCGCTCTCTGTCTTGGTGACTGTGCCACCACCACACTGGCCTCTTGGTTGACCCTGGAATGAACCAGATCCACTGTTGTTTCCTCTTACTGGAGTGCTCTTCTGCAAGCCTTACCCGACCACCCATCCGACACAGTATGTATTAATTAGTTTATTATCCGTCTCCTTCTACGGTAATATAAGCTCAATTAGGGCAGGGATTTCTCTCTCTGTTTTCTCCTATGCCCCCAAAAGTCCTGACATGTAGGCGTCAAAGACAATAGTTTTCATCAGCCTAACTATGCGAATATATATACTTTCGCTTTGCCTTTTATCTATATGTAATTCAAAGGAGGTAAGTTGCATCGCATCTGTTCTTTTCACAAGCTCTCTCACATTTAAAGGAGGAGCAGTAAATAAGATGAAATAACAAAAATTCATTTTATATTGAAATTCGGGTTTATATAGTCCATCCATGCATGTAAAAAGTAATCTAGTGTTTAGAATCATGTCTGAGTGGAATTGCTTTTTCTAAGAAGGTATTAAGAGCACTTTCAAAACTGGCATATCCAGACAAATGAGTTAAAATGAGTGAATATGTGGTAAGGTGAAAAGGCCTTACTATTAGGCAGGCTAGAAAAACAACTGCATTTGGGTCAGCGTGTGGGTCTTCAGGGTGTCTGTAGAACTCAAGTTCACTCTGAAAAGACACAAACAAACGGCTAAATGAAAATTCATCAGCCTTATGATTTGCATTTCAATAATGTCAGATTTCACATATTGCCTGTGTCACCCATTAAGCTTAATTTGTCCATGTGCACAGGTGACAAAGTGATTCCCCGTAGACAGAGAGGGAAGCCATCTATTCAACTCTTCTCTCGATGAGCGGGTCACCTACATCTGTCCCTCTTTTCCAATTCTTTTTCCCCCCAATCTTTTGGTTTTAATATTTACTGAAAGCACGCAAGAGAGAGCTGCTGACACTGGTCAAGTTTCTGGGGATCAAAGGTATTTGTCACAAGTGCCCCACACAAGCCTTTTTTGAGTCCCTCCTTACCCCAATGGTAACTATTTTCCCATCACAAGAATTAGTCCCATCATGGTATTCTTTCTTCATCAATCTATTCATTCAGAAAGTAACTCATTTTTCCTCAATAATACATGACATATCTAGAAGAATATATCTCACCTGCAGGTCTACTTATATTTTAGGAGGAAAACGCCTTAAGCGAGGGATGAGTTTCCAATCAAGAAGTCCAGGCATTGCCCAGACAATGGGAAAGTACTTTTGCAGATGAAAGGCTTTCCCAGTTCCCCTTTTCTACTTTCTTCCAGCCATTTCATTCAGGGTGGTTCAGGGCCCCAAAGAGTGTGTTGTTCTCCAACTGAACTATCTTGCCCTACCCACTTAAGTGATATTGTATATGAGTTTAGCCTCACAGTGGATAATGAATACCTGTTGAACTGAAGGCCTTTTATTTTCAATCTAACATTAGATGTGAATAGCATTTTCACATTTTGCAAAGTGCATAAGGCAAAACTATTTATTTATTTTTATTTTTAATTTCTTTCTCTTTTTTTTCTTTTTACATTTTTTATTTTAAAGATGTGGGGTACAATTCTGGGTTAGGTATACAAATGTTCATTATACAGGTACCCTTGTTGATGAGATGTGCCCTTCCTCTCCTGGCAGTTTCCCATGACTGCTAATCCCTTTCTTATAGTATTACAATAATTGTTCAAGGTAAGGCAAAATTTTTAAAGCAGCTTTATTGAGGTTTAGTTTTTCACACCATAAAATTCATCCATCTTAAGGGTACATTTCAAGGAGGTTTAGTAAGTTTACTAAAGGATACTGAGTAAGTAAGTTGTGCAAGCGTCACCACAATTCATCTTTAGCACATTTTTATCATTCCATAAAAATCCCTCTTGCTGTTGCTGTCACTGCTCATTCCCATTAAGCTACTTTCTAGAGAAATGAATAAAGCACTATAATAGATATATATTCAGAATTAATGACACACCTGGTAACATTTCTTACCTGATCAAAAATGTTTATAAAGCCAAACAAGGTAAAAGAAGGAACTAATGCAATGCTGGTAATCAAGATTTTTAGGTTAAATCCTTTGATTATAAGCATGTCCCACGTGATCATTGAGGCCTGGAAAGTCCAAATATATTGTATCAGACATACTCAGCCCACTGACATTTGACAAAACATTTAAGATATAGGTGTTCTCATTTCGTATATCATAATTCTCCAACATTCAGATATAGTCATTAGCCATCAGAATTTCTCTTTTCAGAGATAGATGTTAAGGGAGGAGCTTTCATTGATGAGAATATATATGATCTTTGGCTCTCCAATAGAAAATTCTTAATAGATGGAGACTAAAGATTAAGGTAAAAGCTAAAAGGACCAAAAAAACCTTCCTGACAGTGTATTATTAGGTTAAATCCAAGACAAGAGGATAAAGAAAGGAATTACCTTTTCATAGCTAAGGCAACAATATTGCTAATGTATAGAAACCTATATATGTTGAAAGTTACATGGCAGTTATAAAAAACAAACAATCCATATTGCCTCTCACCTACACTACTGTCATGATTTCTCATTGTTCTCCCTGTTGCAGCTCTTCTCCATCCCAAACAGATGATTTTTCTGAGATTGTGCCTTTTCATTGTAATGGACTCATTTTTTATTTTAGAAATTTATTTTATTGGCAAATGGAAGGAAGAAATAAAGATAATTTTTTATTTTTTCTGTTTTAAGGATTAATTTTTCAGCCAGGTATTTGTTGAGCACTATATTATCCCTTTGCTGGATCTTATTAAAGCACTAATTATAATAAAAATACAATCATAATTGCTAAATTCACTGAACATGACATAGATGCCAAGTATTGGGAACTGAGCATGAATTGTTTACTTTAATCCTCCCGACAACGCCTTAATGTAGCTACTGCTATTATCTTTCCCTTTATCTATGAGAAATCTAAGGTTTGGAGATGTTAAATAATAGTCTCAAGAATGCACAGTTAGTGAGTGAAAACCTGGAATTTAAAACTCTGTGTGTGTTTGATTGTTAAGCCTATACATATTAGTCTTACGCATAAGCCTTTCTTAAAAACAATTGGGAATAGAACCATATAACTGATAAACACATATTCAGTAAGAGCACAAGCATTTTAGCTGGCAAACCAAAACAACAAAAAAACCACTTTTCTCATTTTACAATTTCCAGAATCTCTCTGCCAGGGTACGACACAATTGTCTATATATATATATAATATATATATATATATATATATATATATATATATATTTTATCTTCTCTAGGTTTTACACTCTCTTCTATTTTTTATTCTATCTCTTGACTTCTGATAACTCTAAGTACTTTTGTCCAGTTAGTTGACTCCTCTTATTCTCCCAGGTCTCCAAGTTTCTATTATTTTGTCTCTCCTGTCTCATCTATTGAAAAAAGAGCGGACTCCAAACTTTGAGAGCATTAGAGGATTCTGTAGGGCTCGATGTGCTAAGATGTGCTACAATCACTCAGTAGGATAGGTGAAAAAGGTGCTTCCTTATCAGACAGGGGCCTGAGATCTATGAAGCACCAGATCCTTCTGGGTATGGAAGTCTGTTGGTTTCTAGAAAACAATTAAGTACCAGCAGTGGCTGTACTCAATGATACAGAGATATTGCTGACACTTTCCTTCCAATGCATTCCATAACACATAAGGAAGACTGCACTGAATATCAACATACAATGCATTCTGACATGTGATCCTAAGGGGAATTAAAAAAAATTGCCTCAGTACTAAGACTCACATGGTTTAAGTTTACACTAGCTACATGGTGAAAGATAAATTCTTACAACATATACCCTAAACACATCATTAGAATAAAAATATAAGTTATCTGTATCAGGCAAAATGCAAAAAGCCAGTGCAAACTGTATGAGGTCTTTGTGAAGATGTGTAGTTTTGAAACCTTTCGGCCTATTAAAATCAAGATGTGTGGATAAGCACAAGTTTTGAGTCAGTATTACCAACCATGCTACTGTCTCATATTTTTTGACTTGAAGAATGCCATAAAGTCTGAGACCTCAAGTTTATTGCTGATCATGTCACTAATTTTTGTGTGACTTTGAGCAAGTTGCTTAAGTTTATTTTTTCTAAAAAACTAGGTAAATTATAGTAGATGATTTTGAATTTCTTTCAAGTGTGACATTCAATCATTCTATAAGTATGGCAATTCCTTAATTTCTTTCAAGTGTGACATTCAATCATTGTATAAGTATGGAGATTCCTTTCATTGCTATAGAATAAAGTGGATAAATACACTGAAATCAATAAGTATAAAAAAGGCAAAGAAAAAACGAGAAATTGCCAATACATATTACTCTGTAGTGCAATTTTACCTTAAAATTTTGAACAAGTCTTTTGCACAAAATATACTTTGCCTGTGGAATGTTGTCCTGCCTTATTTCAATCCATAACAACTCAAACATAACTGACAGGAAAAGAAAACATGATCTAATCATATGCAAATTTTTAATTAATTTTAAAAATACAGTGTTTCAGAGTGCCACGTTTGATTTTCTACTGTGATCTTATATTTGTGATCTTTATTCAAATCACAATGAATATCTTAAACATCATATTAGTCTGCAAATCTAATAAAGAAGGTGTTCTGTGTTATTATGACTTCCCTTAGAAATAGCAAAGTCAAATTCCTTAGTCAATTCACTTGCTGCTATACGTATGAGGAATTCACAATATAATAATGCAGATGGTAGTCTATCTCCTACCATGTTTTGAAAAAAGTTTGCTCTCACGGAACTCTCACCCCTTATCCCACAAAGGCAAAATGTTTTCTGCTCACTAAGCCAAGTGATGAAATCTGCTGTTCTGGAAGATTTGGGTGTACCAAGTTCTGGAATATCTGTCACAGTCTATGGAGTTTAAATCTATGGAGGCGTAGATTTAAACTCCTAGAATTGGTTTGAGAACATTCTGTCAACAATGCTTTCCAGTCCAAAGTACAGAGCCTATACTCATGAGGAAGTCATCCCTTTTCAGTTTCCACACTGAAAACTGTAAGACAAGAGGGTGAGGTATGTTTCTACTGTTGATGTTGAACGCTGCCTCTTCTAAGAGATTGTCAACTCTATGAACTGGCATAAATCGTGATTACAGGATAAACCAGAAACTTTTTTTTTTTACTTGACACATAGCAAAAATGTGTCCACTAGATGTGCATTTGTTCCAGCTGAATGATTTCTGTGTTCTGTATAAAGAGAGCCAAAACAAAGAATGGGAGGATCATGAAAGAAACCATGATTCCAGGCTGTGGATGACTAAGGACTGAAGAGCAATTAGCCGAACAGTTATCTATGAGGGCACTCACTAGGACATCTTCAGCATCCTTCAGGCTGATAGCTTAAAGACCTGTCCACAGCCCTGTTGGTCCATAACCCTGACATTGCTGGACAATTAGCTCCAAGAAAGATTTCATTCAGAATTGAAACTACTGGAAAACACAAAGAATGGATGTCAATTCTTTCTTCATCTTCACTAGACTGATAAGGGTGTTGACTGAAAATAAACCAGATGAGTGTCAGTAACACTCTCTTCTACTGACATCTAATCTGCATATCTAGTATCTGGAATTATGTTGGACAGTGGCTGTACATCTGTTCACTAAACAAAAAAGTTCCCATGGAAAGTATAAATGGAAAGACCTTCGGTGTATCAAATCCTTATGGCTGCCTCAGTTTTTCCAGGTGAAGTAACTATAGTTCTTTCTGAAGCTTTGGTACCTGGACTGGATTGTGCTGATCATGGTAGGAAAGATGTTAATAGACACTGTTTGCTGAATACAAAGACATGCAGCCCAGAGAAGTTAAAGCAGAGCATTGCTCCCTGAGAAGGAACAGCAGCTACCTTCTGACCAAAAGAGGCCAAGGATAATTTCTTACAGAAGTCAGTGCATCATTTCAAATGTGTCATTTCTTACAGGTGATCTTGGGTTGAGTTTCTCTCATGACTTCAGGACTCCCATTCCAAGAGTTGGGAGTTGGTTTCCAGAAAGACATTCTACCACCAGTTGAGTTCAGTTAAATGAAAGCTGCAGTGCCGCACCCAAGGCACTCAGGGCCTCCAGGGTTTTGACAAACATTTCCAGCAAAGTGTGCCATAATCTTGGACAATTCTTTACTTTCATGTATTTTGCCAGTAAATAATCTGGTGTGAGTATAAAACATCGTTGATATCTGAAACTCTTAGAAGTTAAGGTTAAGAGAGACCTCCTTTAGACTATAGAAATGGATGGTTGCGAAGCCAACTTTTGTTGCCAGGAAGCCCTGCATTCTGAAGGTGACATAGACTCAACAGCATATTTTAAACTTCAGGTTCTCCATAAATTCTGTTCTAAGGGTTATACCAGAATTCTTTAGAAACATTATTGATTTAATAACAGTTCATTTTCCTCTCTTTTTTGTGGTATAATTTTAAAGTATCATTAATTTTCCCTACTATTCAAGACAAAAGTGACTATATATAACATTATATTGAATTTTTAAAAATAACTTGATTTCTCTATTATGCATGCATATACTTACAAAATAGAAGCAAAATGACCAAAGACCACTGTTTTTTCTCTTTTTCCGTGAAATAAATGCTATTATATATGTCAAGAAGATAAGAGAAGCTGCATAACCAGGTGTAAAAAGAACCTGAAGGTGATACAAATAATATCCTCGTCAGAAAATGAAATATTATCTGAGAGAAAAACTAAATTATGAGTATTTTTGAAATATTTTATTGCACATGAAACTTGTATTTTTTTGTTTTGATTCATAACAAAATAAAATTAAAGTATATTGATTGCATAAAATTACAATGTTAAAATGTATTATTGATTACTGTATAAAATTTAGTCTATGTACTATGTTACTTACCATAGCAAAGAAAATTTTAGTTGTAACATAAAGGTATGCCATGTTCTGTAGGTAGAAAATTAAATACATTAAGAGGAGAATTAAGATGAACACACTTATATCCACCAGTGCCTGTCCGCACCAGTAAGCAGAAGTGTAGAGGCCTGAAATCCACAGCTGGGACTTGGTTTTCCTCTGATAAAACAAGCAAACAAACAAAAAAATCACAGATGTACATAGATTCCAGTAAAATGCCAATTTAAAACAAACACACTGGAAGAATTTTTAAAGATAAATATAATATAATCTTCTGACATTTTCAAAAGTAACTATGTATTTACTATTTAGAAACCTGAGTTCTATACAGCCAATTCTATAGCTTAGAAGGTGGCCATTAAAAAAGTACAGCCTTATTTGATATCAATTTTATCATGATTTGATTCATAATATCACTTTAAATCTTGAATAATAAATAGAATGTAGACCTCATAATGCTTAAGACATTAAGGGCTTCAAAAGAAATGTAATTTGTGCCCTAGAGGACATAATAGATTTTTCTTTGGCCCAACATTTTGGAGTGTTATTGGCTCAGGATGGTGAAAGCTGACTTATCTTAATTCAGTTTAATTGTTTTGTCTGGAAATGGGCATAATCAAACATAACATAAAATTGTAATTTCCAGAATGGAAAAGGAATTCAAGCCTTACATTTGGTCTTCAATTTAAACGTCAATGATTTTCTCCTTGAAATTAGGAAATAATATAATCAAAAGATTTATAGTATTTCCTTTTGAGGGTTTACTCTAATTTGAGTCTTGAGAAATCATACTTTTCCTGTGACTTTGAAGAAAAGAGTATTTTGCATTTTAGAAGTAAACTTTTGTGACTTGCTAAAAATAATGCTTCACTGCCTTACCTAAATTAAACATATATGTAAGTGTATTTCTCGGAGGAAAACATTTTGAACACATAGAATTCAAAATACAATTGTTGAAATTCCAGAAGTTTCTTTTCTGTGTCCCCTTTATCCTTACTTTGTAATCACTGACGCTGCTCATGGCGATGTAAGGAGAAGTGCAACTTAAAACCCAAACTAAGAAACTGAAAGCTTCTGGCAGTCGAGTAAAGAAGATTTCATAGCTCTGCAAATATAAGAGGTACTTTAAACTCAGGAATATTTTTAAATGAAACACATACTAATAACCACCAAGAGTGAGCCGTGGAGATGTTGAAAAAACAACCTCAAATTACAGATGTAGTTCATCAAGATCCATGCACAGAGGTGGGAGGGAAAGTGACTTCTGATCACGCATCACGAGGCCTCAGCTCAAAGAACCAAGCAAAGTCAAAAATTCAAGGTCTGCCTCTGGGAATGTCTTCAAAAGAACTGAAAGCAGGGTCTCGAGGAGATGTCTTCACACTCAAGTTCATAGCAGCATTAGCAACCAAGTGTTCAATGAATGAATAAACAAACTGTGTATGTATATATATGTATATATACATTGTGTGTATATATACATATACAATATAATACCATTCAGTCTTAAAAAGGAAGGAAATCCTATCACATGCTACAACATGCATGAACCTAGAAAACATGCTAAGTGAAGTAAACTGGTCACAAAGACTTATATGATGTATCTAAAGTTGTCAAATTCGTAGTAACAGAAAGTAGGAGAGTGGTTCCCAGGGGCTGGGAGAGGGAAAAATAGGAAGCTGTTTAATGGATACAGAGTTTCAGTTTTGCAAGATGAAAAAGTTCTAGAGATCTGTTTCCCAGCAATGTGAAAATACTTAATGCGACTAAACTGCACACTTAAAAAAAGTTACAATGGTCAATTTTATACCATGTATTTTTGCCACAATTTAAAAAATGATAATTCGGGAATCCTGACCCTCAATGGGCACATGCTTCAGGTCGGAACCGCCTGTCTTTCTCAGCAAGCCCAGAGATGGCTGTGTGGAGATCTCAGTAGCTGGGTGGGCATTTTCTGAGCATAGAACTGAAAAGAAAACTTGGAGCAGTTGAGTTCATCTTCAGGGAAAGGAACTTAATTTCTACCCCCAGATCAGTGTCTGGACTTGTGCCCAAGCGGCATGGCGGCAGCATGGGCTGGTTTCAGAAGGCTATGTCTATGAATCACAATTTTCTGCTTGGTGGGAAATGCATTATCATCATCACAGGATTGAGGGAGGACAGGTGTGTGCCATGGGGAAGTCGGGAGGGGCAGAGGAGTTACCTAATAGGGTACTTATGGGCCTCCGTCCATTTTGATACTGAGCAAACGGGCCATGCCATGTGGACACTAAAGAAGCAAGATGGAGTGATTAACTGTCCCTTCCTGCTACTTTTCTGGTTTCTCTTGCTGGAGAGCTCCCTTCCGATGCCACGACCTTGAACCATCCTGTGCACTCCCTGCTTCGGGTCATACCACTGACTTTTGGTGTGCAAACTCTCTAAAGCTAGACTGTAGCCAGCTGGCAAAGAATCCTGAAGATGCAGCTTGTGTGTACCAGACACGTAGAGCCACTGCGAATAGGTGAAAGAATGGATAGTAGAGTATACAGCCTCAGGACTGTCTGATTCTCCTTCAAGTTAGTCGATCTACTACATGTTTAGTCCATGGAGAACCCACTAACAAATTAGATTTATAAGACCCTATGGCAGGCGTACAAGTGCACCTGACTTCTCTCTCTCTCTCTCTCTCTCTCTCTCTCTCTCTCTCTCTCTCTCTCTCTCATACCCTTCTGCAACCAAGTATGTACCACTTTAAAAAACATTCTCTAAAAGATTATGGCAAATTATTGAAAAATATTTCCCCATGAGAATTATCTGATAATAACTTAGCAATAAAAAATAATATTTTGTTTGATACAACCCATTTACAATGTTAGGACAAAATAATACTTTTCAGGATTAACAATCAATTATGACTATTTTAAAGCTAAAGAGAAAACAGAGGTTACTTGTTAAATTCTTAATTATCCAGAATCAGTAAATCCAATACTTACAAAAACAAAAGGGCTTCTCTTAATTTGAATATATTGTGTGTGATTAAACATTCGAAGTAGTCCGTTGCTGATGATATTCATAAGAATAGGGAAACAATGCAATCTCTTGGTATTACACACAAGGGAAAATCTATAATCCTTAAACAAAACAAACAAAAGAAATAATTGTAATTTTAAATCCTTAAAGGACAAAAGCGGTTTATATATAAGATCCTAACAGCGCAACATTTGAGCTGTGAGTTCATCTTCAAATTAAAGGACTTTTCTGAGTTTTTGCTTCCTCATTTGTGAAACGGGATACTAAAATGGGTTGTTATATGGTTGAAATGAGATTATGTGTACATATATTAGGCCCTAGTACAGAGTCAGCATTTACTCAATATATATTTTATTAGTGTTATTTATTATAGATAATTTTGTCCCCACTTTGCTGATAAGAAAATTCCAGTCAGTGGAGCTTAAAAGTCTCCCTGTCAAGGAGACAGTCGGTTTGCCATAAACAAGCAAGGGAACACTGACCTTTTAGTTCATACGATATTCGTGGTTACACTGACCATGAAGCATTTTCACACTGTCTCAGGCAATGTTTATGTGGTTCGGGTTTATGAACTATTACAGCAAACGCGTTAGATAAGTAACAAAGCAGTTGCCAAACAAAGCAATTTCCCAAAGTGGTACAAAAGGATTCTAATCATAATGTATCGAGTTTGAATTCAATGATACACCATCACTGGCTTTTGGTATTGTTTTTATTTCCCTTGTAGCAAGAAATAAAGAGGTAGTTTCATTTATTTGGCCCCTTGTTTTCATTAGAATGCAAAAAAGACTCTAGAGTTGTTATGATTAAGGTGTGTTTTCAACAGCCTTGTTCCTTGGTGACTCTAGGGTTCGTACTCTTTTACCCAAAATAAAATACACTAAGATGGTAGACCGAGCATACTTTTCTCTCAGAGATCTCATATAGATATTATAGCACCAAACACATTTTCTCAATATATAAAAAACATCATTCGGGTAGTTAGCTATTGAATAGGATTCCTTAAATCTGTAACTGTATCGGTTGATAATTATGAGTTGTCATATTTTTATTGAATTTGAACAATGTAACTGAATTTAGCATCCTTTAAATGTAAACATTATCCAATTTAAAACAAAGCTAAAATAGAAAATGTTTTACAAAAACCTACGTAACTTTATAATAACAACCCAAAATGTTTTTCTGAGTCAAGTTCTTTGATTTTCTGCAGTTTTTAAAACAGTTAAAATGTAGTGCTTTCTGAGCAGTTTGTCACAAAAGCAAAAACAAGAGGCAAGCATACCTTTTGTTTACCAGAAACTATGATGGCTCCATTGTATGAGAGGCTATCAGTGCCATTTCTGTTTTCAAAGTCATCTATTTCCAAAAGTATATTTTGATGCTTCAGTGACTGAATAAAATCTTCAATATTTGATTCTAACATAAAGTCAATAACAGAAAGACATATGAAAGCAAGAAAATTTGTGTCAAACTTTTAAAATACATTCCATACATTAAAGTCAGTATTTATAGCATACTGTGTGAAAGCACGCTTCTTTAGACATCACAATAATATTGGTCCATGAAAGAGAAATCACTCTACCAGCTTTTACTTGGCAAATCTTATGCTTCCATGAATTGTCTTTATGAATCTGTTTAATGCAAGCTAACATGTAATCACAAAAACAAGCCAATACTATTTTATTACTTTTGATTTAAAAAACATACATTTAAATTGAAGAGTCTGTGAAGATGCAAGAATCTTACGAGAAGTGCCTCAGATTGTCCATAACCAATGATAATACTCTGCTCTCTCACTTATTCTTCCAAATAATGAAAAAGTAAATATACATGTGTCTGTATAACACACAAATATGTGGCCGGGCTTGGTGGCTCAGCCTGGAATCCCACGCTTTGGGAGGTCAAAGTGAGTGGATTGCCTGAGCCCGAGGGTTTGAGACCTGCCTGGGCAACTTGGCAAGACCTCATCTCTACAGTAAATCAAAACAAAATTAGCTGGGCATGGTAGTGTGCCCCTGTAGTTCCAGCTACTTGGAAGGCTGAGGTGGAAGTATGGCTGGAGCCCAGCAGGTCAAGGCTGCAGTGGCCGGGAGCGTGCCACTGCACTCCAGTCTGGGTGACAGAGTGAGACTTCAACTCAAAAAAACCCCACAAATATGTTTTACTTTATTTTACATATTTGCATACATATTATATACATACATATTATATAAATATATTTTTTCTTGAGAGATGGAAAATGAAAAGGGTAGCATGGTCAGATCAAAGTTTTTCATATGTCCCTGTAGAGGAAACATATGAGAATGGTTGACAGAAAAATGAGAACTGAGAAAAATCCACAGCCTAGAGCACACAGGAGCCCAGAGCACACAGCTGAGGGTGAAAACCAATTCCCAGGACATCTACACTTGCAGGGGATGAATGCAAGGGAGTGAGGGGGTTCTGAAGCCATGGTCAGGGTCATTGGCCAGTTAATTACATCTGGAATGAGATGACCCCTCCCCATGCTCTACACAGAGCAGACAGTCACTTGCAGCTGTCCCTGGGTAAGAGTCCTATATTTACATTCTAAGACACACTATTTGCAGAAAAGAGCAGGACAAGGCCTGAAGCAATTCCAGAGAAATAGGGCAGGATGAAACAGATAAGAGAAAAAAGGAGGACTTTTTTTTTCCAATTTAGCCTTTGAAATGGGTGTGCACACTGGGGACACTCAAGAGTGGGCTCTAGGATTGGAAACACAGGGACAAACCCTGGAAGAGTGAGGATTTTCCCCAAGCAGGAAAGGGACACACATAGAGAAAATGAACCTTCCACGTACCCTGGGCCAGCCACACATCATCCCACTCTGATTCTATAGTCACCTGAGGCAGGATGCCATATGGTGGCCCACGTGTGCCTGGGCAAATGGGGATTCTCACATTAAAAGATAAGCACGCCCCCAGTAATCATCAGATTTTGAGAAAAGAAGAACAAGACAGCACAGAAGTCCCAAACTTAAATCTCAAAATTCCTAACAACTGAGTTCAGAGAAGAAAACATAAATAAACACATATATACTGTCCTCCGAGTGGCTGAAGAGGAAGAGACGTACATGATTTACCTATCATACAAGCTGACAAAGCAATGATTCTAGCTCTTGCAAATGAAATGGGCAGTTAGCAAGGTTTTCGGTTTGAAGGTAGCAAGGTGAATACAACTTTCTTTTCAAAGCCCAAATGGAAACTATAAGAATGAGAAGCAAAAAAGACCATCTTTGTTTCAAGAGGATTTATCTACAATCTCAATCACAAGTACGTGTGAAAATGAAATGAGTGAAGAATTCATCAAGAGAAGACACTTATTCTCAACATTTTTGAAATCTCTAAGTTAGAAACAGAAAACCTTCTTCTTCAAGGTTAACTAAGCAGTTAGCAAAGAAACAAACAAAAAACCAATTATCCATCTTTTGGGACAAGATAAGGCGGCTCCCTATATCCTGTTGAACTTCATGGAGAGGTGTAGATAGATACTCCATTGTTGCACGGCAATCAGTGTATATCACATATATGGCATAGGTTGAGCTGCTGCAACTAGTGTCTCAGAATAGAGTGGGTCGGCCAGCGTGGAAGCACGCTCTCTCTCACAAAATAGCTTAGGGTAGTCAGGTGAATAGGCAACCCGCTTTCCCAAGTTGTAGGGCGACCCAACTTCCTTCTCTTTGTCCTCGACCTGTCATCTCCGAAATCAGAGCAAATACGCACTTTCCTCATAAACCGTTTTCATAAATAAAGTTTAAATACATATTTTCTTCTTCTTCTTTTTTTTTTTTGAGTTGGAGTCTCACTCTGTTGCCCAGACTGGAGTGCAGTGGCTGCTCCCGGCCACCGCAGCCTCAACCTGCTGGGCTCCGGCGATTCTTCCGCCTCAGCCTACCAAGTAGCTGGAATTACAGGCATGTGCTACCACGCCCGGCTGATTTTTTGATTTATTGTAGAGATGAGGTCTCGCTGCCCAGGCGGATCTCGAACCTGTGGGCTCAGGCAATCCACTCACCTCAGCCTCCCAAAGGCGCGTGATTACAGGCTGAGCCACTGAGCCCAGCACATTTTCTTCTCTTATGACTTACTTTTCCCCCCTCCATGTGCTATTCAACAATAAAAATAATTTATTTCTGTATTTAAATTTGTTTTTCTTTTCACCTGTGTTATTGATGACCAGCAGGCTGGTACGGGGGCCCTGGGGAGGTTGTCCAGGAGAGAGAAAGTACAATTCAGTTTTAAATTCCCAATCGATCTTCAAAGCACTCATAGCATAAATTATACTTTCCACAACCAAAGGGAGCACTGCAATTCCAAACACCAATAACCTAAACATTAAGGAAGAGTATGCATATAAATCTACAGCAATTTTATTTATCTAGTAGACAAATATTTCTTGAGTGCCAGATTTACTGTATGCCAACCATGATTCTAAGTGCTAAAATTCTGAAAGGTATACCTTAGCATACTACACAGTACTATAAACACTAGGCTATCCAACCACAAAAACTAAACACACCTACAGGGTTAAGACTAATAAAGTGCTACTACAGCCATCCCCACCGCAGAAAGGTTGGGTACTGTGTTCTAGTTTTAAGTTCTCTTCTGACTTGAACCTCTTATGAAACGCGTCATCTAACAAAACCACCATACTGTGATACTCACAGGTTCCAAAGCACTTTCCTTCCACGTATGAACTGTAAGAAACGAAGCCTTGCTATTGCACAGACTTGCATTTTCCAGACGCTCATGTCACTCGCAGCCGTCTGCATTTCAGGGAAGAGAGAGTGAGCTGGCTCCATTTCATTTAGGCTTTCTGAGTCTCTCAATATCTCCACTTGTTGAAAACCTGTACACAGAAACACATACACATACAAACACACACACACACACACACACACACATTATTAATGCCATCTTAGGGGCATCACAGTTTCTTTCTTTTAGTAAAATTAAAAGTGGTTTTACATTTGACTTTAATTTATAACCAATTCAAAGGAATTATTTGAATAATATTTTCCAATATTTATCAAATGATGCTTTCCCACTGCCTTCTATATTTCTCTTCTACAGTTAAGTTTTATAATCACCAATGGTAATGCACATAAAAACACAACTTTTTAAATAAAAAAATGTTTTAGAATATTTGTGGTTACAATACAAACCATATAAAAAACATGATGTCCACATTCTATAAACTCACTGAGTAAATACACTGAATTCAAACCAGAAGAAGAATTCACAAACACGATGATATCAGTATGCCCAATCGTTGAAAAGGCAAAGAAAGTTCCACACGTAACCATATTCTGAGGGATTGCCAACTTCTCCCTAGGAATAGCCAGTCATTATGACCTAAATGTCTATGATCAAGGCATCGATAATTCAGTAGTGTAGGGGAAAGTATCACCAGCCCTGAAACCACCAGACCCGTACATGAGTCCCATGTACGTGACTTAAAAGTGGTATGACTGGGGAAGACCAATTAACTGCTCTTAGGCCTGATTTTCTCATCTGTAAAATGGTACCAATGATGCTTTTTGAAAAGGTTATGTAGGAAGATAATGTTGAAGGTATATATCAATGTATAGCGGCACATTAAAGTGTCTGGCATAGGAAGAACTCCATAAATAACAGTTATGATCCCACTCTTTAAAATACACAAGAAATGATACTGAGATTTCTCTTCATTAAGACCTGAGTTGAATAATGTATACTAACAAGCTAAGGGCAACTTTTCATTAAAAAAAAATTCCGCTCAGATCACGCTCCTGATTAAGAACCTATCAAGCCTCAAGGTATCCAAGAAGCAGTGCACATCTGAAGATAGGAGAAAACTGCTGAAATGGGAAATTGTTTCCCAAGAGAAATTTGATAGACTCTATGAAGGGATCTGTGTTCAGTCCTAGTAGTGGTGTTAAGAAGGAAGGATAGCTTGTCTCAAACAGCAGAGCCAAAGTTGGAACAAATCACATTTCTTCGTATAAATCATGCACAAGAAAATATGAATTTAAACTGACACATGATCATTTGGGAATGTATTTTCTGTGAATCGTACAAAAGGCTTTACCTTGTTCAATAGTGGATTTTCCTTCCAGTTTCAGAAAGACTTCATTCAGAGTTGACATGGAAATGTCATAACCCGTCACTCCTTGGTCAGAACACTTTTCAAGATCATTGAAAAGGTCTAATGCAAAAGACAGGAATAGAAGCTTTTAAAAACCCCATCAATAACTAAACCAAGTAAATTGATACTTATTTAAAAGATAATGGAGAGTATTGTTAAGAAAAGTATGTCTTTAAAGTATCATAGCAATCAAAAGCAATATTTCATTAGAATGCGCTCACCCTCCAAATGACTACGTCTAGCCTCATTTCTCAAACTGGCTGCACCCCACCATCTGCTCTCAGCTAATGAGATTCCTGCAGACATCTCCGGGGAAATATGAGCAAGCAGGAAGACCATCATCTTCTCACCTCTACACCACAAATCCACACATATCTCAACCCACATTCTGAGTCTGCTTCTGCTTGGGTCTTCCAGTGGTTTCTCAATGCATTTAAAACAAAATTCAAAGTCAATAACACAACCTCTAAGGCTCCATAAGATCCTGTCTCCATCTATCTATACAACCTTCCCCATCCCCACCTGCCTCTCCGATCCCTCTCTCACTGTCCTCCAGATGTCCCACTTTCCCCTCTAAGTGGAGTGTTTTTGACCAGTTTCTTTGTAGGTCCTTCAGTGACCACACTTATAAATCCCGGCTTGACAAAGGTCATCAATCTAACTCACCTGGTCTCGTTATTTCATTGTACAATTGTAGAACAATTCTGCTTATTTTGTGTACTCGCTTTTACCCACCCAGATAAATGTAGGCTCCATGGGTGCAGGGACCCACATGTCTTATTTAATTCTATATTTCTAGTGTCTGGAGCGGTGCCTTTTATATAATAAGTACCCAATATACATGTATTGGGTAACACTTCCATGGGAGTACTTGGACGAGGATGTAGGCTTCTAGAAGACTCTCCCTTGCCACCTTCTACTTTGGATGGGAAGAGGGGCCAACAACATTAGTTGTGAGGACTGAATGAGTTGATATTGTGAAACGGTTAGGAAAGTGCCTAACACACATTAAGCTTGACACAGAGTCAGTGATACTTAAGATTTTTCATCAAAGTCAGGTTGTTTATGCTGTGAAGCTGGCTGAAAACTAACATTGGATACTTTTGTGGAATAAACAGGCTCTGTTTTTCTCTGCAAAATAATAGAGGCACAATTAAATGGAGTGGAGCAGTCCTTCCTTATCCACAGTTTTGCTGTCCACAGTCTCAGTTACCCGCAGTTAACTGCAGTCCAAAAATGTTAAACAGAAAAATTTAAGAAATGATTCATAGCTTTCCATCTCAGGTCCTTCTGAGAAGCATAATGACATCTCGTGTTGTCCTGCTCAATGCCCCTCAGAACGTGAATCCTCCCCTCGTCCAGCGGACCCATGCTGTACACATTACCTGCCCTCTAGTCCCTCAGTAGCCATCTTGGTTACAAGACCATGCCACTCTGTATTGCAGAGTTTGTGTTCACATCACCTTTATTTTACTTAATCATGGCTCCAAAGCACAAGAAGAGAGGTGCTGGAAACTCATATGTGCCAAAGAGAAGCTATGAAGTGTTTCCTTTCAGTGAAAAGGTGAAGGCTCTCAACTTAATAAGGAAAGAAAACAATTGTATGCTGAAATTGCTAATCTATGACTGAATCGCCTATCTGTGAAAATGTGAAGAAGACAAAAGAAATTCACACTAGTCTTGCTGTAGCACCTCAAACTACAAAAGTTATGGCCACAGTGCATGATAAGTGCTTAGTTAATATGGAAAAGACATTAAATTTGTGTTTGAAAGACATAAACAGACATGTGTTCCAAATGATAATGGGTTTGGTATCATCTGCAACTTCAGGCATGAACTGAGGGTCTTGGAACCATGTATTCCCTGTGGATAAGGAAGGACAACTGTACAAGACGAAACCTACAGCAGAAACCTTGACGCTATGCCCATATCTCTTCTGCCTCTTCACTTATACACAGCTTGTTAAAAACACCTGTCTGAGGTCCTTTTTCTGACCTCAGAAGTATGCTTAGCCTATGTCCAAAGTAAGCCAGAAGGGACAGACGCTAATGCTCCTGGACGCAACCCTCACCAATGATGATACGGAGCAACAGGGACCCAGCTTCCTAATCCCTCTGCTGACATAGCTCTGAGCCCACTTATGTGTTCGTTAACTTCCCTCCAGAAGCATTGCACCCCAATCGCCTACCACGTAACTTGTGCCTTAATGCAAACTTTCTGGCTTTCTCCTCTTCCCTTTCTCACCATTATCTGCTGGTACCTCTGGGCTCAACTACCAAGTAAATCAGTGGGACTCAACCACACATCTCAAGTTCTGCTTCGCAGGTGATCAAACCTAAGACAAAATCCTCCAACTCAGTAGACAATAACAATTATAATAGTAAGATCAGCATTTGTTCCCAGATATCGTTCTATCATAATAGCATTTAAGTTACCTGGAAATGTATTTGTCTTTTCCAAAGGCAAAGTATACACAAGCTTTTCTTGGTTTTCTGTTTTTAATTTAGCATCAGGGATATGATGGTTAATGACGGATGTTATTTGTTCCGGATCACATATTTCATTCCTATACAAACTACATTTAAAAGAAAAGACAAAGCTTGCATTTTTCCACTGTTACCACGAAAGATGAGCTTTTCTTGAATATCTAGCTGTCGAGCACTACGTTACCCGGCTGTATGAAACAACAAAATGAGTAAATAACAGTGCTCACAATAATCCATTAGTTTAAAAATCTTGCAGTCTACAAGTAGAATAATATAAAGTTGGGACAACTGCAAATATATAAACAACTATATAATGTAATTGAAACTATATATAAATAGGTGTATAAATATACAGTTATATATAGGTGTATAAATATATAGTTACAGATATACATAATCTAATATACAATATATCGGTAACTATGTATAATAACATATCTATAATTATATATAGTTATAGATATAGATATGTGTGTGTGTGTGTGTTTACAGATTAAACAGAGGGAGATGAGAACAGAAGAGACTTCTTGGGGAAAATAATTATTATACCAGACAGTGTAGCTATCAGAATTTAGTAGCCAAAAGAAAAATCTGGCCTACATCCAAGCTTTGTGTGGCCATAGGGTTTATTTTTCTTTTACGCCTTTAGCCTGGATACACACTTTCTTATTAGACATGGTTAACACCACTCTCTGCCAGCATATTGACTCCCTGTTGAACTGGCTTCTGAAATTATTTGTTTCTGTGCCATATGTAAGAATGAAAAGGATTCTAGAGTGGCATGCAGCAGCTGAGGAAAATGAAGATGGGGGGAAGGGAGAGGTTTAGGCTGCAGAGAACTGTTACCTAGAAAAGTGTTCTGTGAAGTAGCCCTGCTGTGAACAGGCAGCCTTGGTTTATAGTGTTGAAATTTTGCCCACTGGTAACATAGTAAAGACACAGGGGGAAGAAAAGTAGAAAATTTATTCAGAAAACACTAAGCAATCCAGGCTGGCAGAGCCGAAGCATAAGCCAGCTTTCTTTCATAACTGTCCCTCTTTTCTATACACCGGTATTGAAAACATAAAGATCTACTCTATTCCCAATGTTGTTACCTTAAGTGATATCCAAGACCCCATTTTCTCTTCAAAAAGACAGAAGAGCCCGCACATTTCAGTCTTCCATTGGACATGATCAGTTTTCTATCTAGTAAAAGGAAGCAAGTGAGAAAAGGTATTAGGAGTCATTTATTCTCTCTCTAGAAAATACAGATGAAGAGCCAAAGCTCAGAATACCAAAGGGAGCATAGCTAGATCTAGTGTGCAATTAAAATTTGAAACACACATCAAAACTGATACATTTAAAATGAGCTCAAAATACTATTCAGCCATAGAAATCACACGTTTCACAACAACTGGAGGCCATCATCTTGGGTGAAACAACTCAGAAACAGAAAGCCAACTGTTGCACATTTTTACTTATAAGTGGAAACTAAACAATGAATGCACATGGATACAGAGTGTAGAATGATGGACACAGAAGACTCAGAAAGGCAAGAGGGTCACAGGGTATTGTGAGATGAGAAATTACTTAATTGATGCAATATACGTTATTCAGGTTACAGAAACACTAAACGTCCAGGCCTTACCACAACACAACATATTCATGCAATGTAGCTGCACCTTTATTCTTTAAACTAATACAAACGAATAAAATGAAAAATAAAATGAGCATGTGAACAGCCTATTTCAGCACCCTCCAAAACTTCTTGGAAAAATAATACATTGCGTGGATGTACTATATTATCTACTCTGATACTAAAAAAGTTAGTGGATATTTTTAAACAAAATATATATTAAAGAAGATTTGAATGTTGAAATTAATGGATTGCTGATCTGAAAAATAGTAACCACAATTTTTCATTCACGTTCACATGAATGCCACAACCAAGCATGTGTACGACCAGTGAGGAATTCTACAATGGAAGTAGACTCCTGCCATCTTCTAGGAATAATAAATATCACTTCTAAATTTCTCAAATTCCTCATAGTAATACTGAGATAAAACCAACAATTACCAGCCAGGATGTCAGCTTCATCCATGGATTGGGTACTGAAGAGGATCACACGATCTGCTCGACGTTCCTTCAGGAAACTCCACACTCGATGCCTTGAAAAGGGATCTAACCCAGTAGTTGGTTCATCTAAAAGCAAAACCTGCGGAGAATGAAGACAAATGAATTACGTCCTTCCTCCACATGAACTGTTTCTGTGTGACAGTATGAACAATAAAAACAAAACAAACAAAATAGTAACTAGCCAATCGTTAGTCTCCAATATACTCATGTTTACAATTAAACATAGCAGGCTGCAGGCTCTCTCTCTCTCTCAATACATTTTAATGAAAGCTCCACCGCATCTAGTGTTAGAAGAGCTCGGCGTTTTACTGACATTTAATCTACTTTTCTCCCCACGCATTTACCTGAGGATCTCCTAAAACGGCAATCCCAAAAGTCAGCTTTCTTTTCTGTCCTTCACTGATGTGTTCAGCAAGGTTATTTTGAATGGTTTGCAAGTCCAATTCCAATAAAATCTGTTGTACCTACATGAAAAACATACAAAGCGTAAAATCCCAAACGATTCAGCTTATGCAACTTTAACTGCCCATTAAAGCAGGGAGTTTTTTAATGGACGCTCTGTGCCTAAATGTTATGCCTAACGGGGCAGATGCATCAGTGAAAAGGGTCATGTGGTCATGATTCAACTCAGTCAACAGCTGGCAGTTAAATGAGTCCAAGTGTGCCCCTCTACCTCTCGCTCCACTTCCTGCAGACGAATCCCTTTTATAGTAGCGAACAGGCGGAGGTTTTCCTTTACTGTGAGGGTGTCAAACTGAACGTTGGATTGAGGACAAACACCAGTGATCTTCCTGATTTCCTCCAAGTCTTGCATTTCAGAGAGGTTTTTATTATAAATGGTAACTGACCCTAGAATAGAAGTTTAAAATAATTTAACGCTGGCAAGATAACATATTTTATTAATATTCAGAGATCTTGTTTAAGAAAATATGGGCATATGTCATAAATCTGAAATGATGGCTTCATAATTTGTGAACTACTAATTATTTTTAAGCATAAGTGTATGCTCAAAGTCGTGCACATTTCCCCTGAAATGCCACCCAATAGAATAAAGATGATACTTTTTAGAAAAATTGAGGCAATACGACAGATTCAAAATCATGTCAGCAACAACTTTAAGTGAACGGTATTTCTCTTCTGCCGTCAAATGTAAAATTTAAAATGAGAGACACACACATATGATCTCATTCTCTATCATGTACCTAGCCTGGGGGAAATTTCTTCCTGCTCACCTTCTGTTGGAATAGCCAATCCACTAAGGATGTTCAGCAGTGAAGATTTGCCAGCTCCACTGTGACCCAGAATTGCTGTAATTTGACCTTCATATACGTCCAAGAGCAAGCCTGTTTTTAGAATAAAATAGTAACATATAAATAAGACGGCATCAAACAAGGCTGGTCCCAAACACAGATCGGACTAATTTAATGATGTATTTCTCAGCATCAAATACATGATGTTCCATACTGTCCTAACTGCCAAAATCATATGTTGCAGACCTACAATAACTGAAATAATATGCCACAGGGGCAGGATACAGTGACCAATGGAACAGAAACCCAGTATGGACCAAAGTAGACATAAAAATAAAAAGCAACAAAATAATCTTTCAAATTCATCAAGAGATGGATTTTTTAATAAGCAATATAATATAGGAACAACTAAACAAGTAAGCTAACACACTTTATGTTTGTTGTTTGGCTGACCTAGCACTGACTCATGTTAACTGGAAAAACGAAACATACAGGGAGATGTTAATGTGCGTTTCATGGGGTTAAACGAAAACAGGTCCACGTACATCACCGAGATGGCTCCAACCACCCAATCAGTCCTTAATAAATTTCAAGTGTTTATTGCTGCTGTGGTTATTTTTGTCGCTTTTATTCATTATGTATGGCTTGAGGGAGTGTGGCTTTTCATAATCTTAGAGGGAAACGATTTGAAATAGGACTCAAGAATCTTGAAAGTATCGTGCCAGGGAGAGGCAAGAGGCCACGGAACCGGCGAGAGTGTGAAAGTCTCCGCAAGGACAGTCTGGCGAGTGGGTGGAGGCGCTGGGTGAGTGAAAGTCCCTCTGAGGGGAGACTCGGCCCGGGGCTCCCGTCTGGAGACAGGTGCAACCCCCGACTGCCCGAGACCGAAGCCCCCTGTGGGCAGGATCATCAGCCATCTCGGGGGACTCCCGGGAGGAGGCAGCGGGGGTCAGACGCTCTCAGCACCGGGTACGCGGCCCGTGCCCAAACCGAACCGGGCACGGCCGAAAGGAGCGTGGAGAGGGCACTGCCAGGACATCTGGAGCCGAGCGCCAGAGCCAGGAGGCGACACAAGCCCCGGCATTTTCTCTGTCCCGGGATGGGTTGAGGCCTGCGTCGCTGCCTGGGCTCTGGGCAGCCTCCCACTGGGACCCAGCCGCCCTGGGATCCCCATGGCTGAGCCAGAGAGGAGACCTCAGGAGCAGCCCGGGAGAGGCGGGCCACCCACCCCTCTGCTGGGCCAGGGACAGGCACGTGAGGTCTGAGTGCGGACTGGGGACAGCAGCATCCGCGGCGGACAGGCTGGGCTCCGATTTGCCCTCGTCCCACGGGAGTCGCTGGCTGAAGAGCCACCCCATCGGCCTGCACGGAGAACAGAGGGGCGGCGCTTCGAGACCAGAGCCTGCTCCCTCCCCAGGTGGCGGCCAGAAGCCTCCTTGGTGCTGGGAAAGAGAACCTGACCCTCCCAAAATGGACACAGCAGGAGCTCCTTTTTCCCCTTCTTTGCCTCTATTTTTTTTCTCTGTTTTTGTTTATGTTTCAGTTCTTGCTTTGTTTTTGTTTGTTTGGGGTGTTTTTTAGTTTTTTTCCTTGTTTTTTTTTTGTCTGTTTGTTGTTTGTTTATTCGTCAGCTGGTGTGCGTGTTTTCCTTCTCCTCCTCCGTCTTCATCTTCCTTTAGTCTTTCTTCTTCCTTTTTCTGCTCTTCCCCTTTTACTTATCTCATTTTGCTCTCGGGGTGACATACATACACCCCCACCACATGGACAGATTATAAGGTGGTGGAAAGTGGGTTCTAGGGGCCCACACACCTGTCCGTGGATACCATGATCTGCAAATAGCTTCTGAACCACACCCCTCAATCCCATCTCAAAACTGCAAAAAGCACAACTCCCCATCCCCAGTCCAGCTTCAAAACTGGACACATCCAGAGGATCCACCTAAGGAAGAAGAGGGGATTGAGCAAACAGAAGAGAAAGCTATCCCCCATCCCTGAGCAATGGAATTGAAGAAGGAGTAGAAAGAGGGAGGAAAACCATCAAAAATGAAGAAGAATCAAAGGAAGTATACAGGTCCCTTGCAGACTCCTGGGAAGACAGCACCTGAGAATACAGACTTTGGAACTCAAACAATGAAAAGCCCCAGAATGACTGGTCCCAAACCACAAACCCAGAGATCAAGATATTAATAGACAGAATGAATAGAAATGAGGAGAGACAAGAGGGAAGAATAAAGAAGTTGATAGATGTGATGATGGTAATAAAGAATACGGCAAACAAAATAAATAACAAACTGACAAACATGGAAAGCAGAATTTACCAAGCAGAAGAAAGAATCTCAGACCTTGAGGACCAAATTATGGAACCAACCCCAACTGTTAAAAACAGAAAAGAAGCTTTAAAAGACCAAAAAAAGCCTCCAAGAGATGTGCAATTATATCAAGAGGCCAAGCCTAAGATTAATTGGTATTCCTAAAGCAGATAGAAAAACAGAGACCACCTGGATACAAAAATTCCAAGAAATTATCCAAGAAAACTTCCCTCATCTCATCAGAGACATGACCATTCAAACACAAAAGATTCAGACAACCCCTGCAAGGCATCAAATGAGAAAACCAACTCCTAAACACATAGTAATCTACTTACACAAAGTAGGTATAAAAGAAAAAAGTCCTAAGGACAGCAAGATAAAACAGTCAGACTACTTACCAAAGAAGACCAATTAGAATAGCAGCAGACTTATCTACAGAAACACTAAAGGTTGGAAGAGACTGGAGTCCAATCTTCAAAGTTCTCAAAGATAAACAATTCCAACCAAGAATTTTCTACCCAGCTAAGTTTGACTTCATCAGTGATGGAGAATTAAAATCTTTCTCAGACATTCAATCCCTAAGGGTTTACACAGTCTCCAGACCAGCTCTACAAGGAACACTTAAGAAAGTATTAAATACAAAAGGAAAAAAAAAATGACCACACTCTTCCCAAGAATTCAGGAAAAAGACTGAAAACACATACATATATCAACTCAAATAACAAAAGAAAACCAACAAACAAACAGCAACAAGCCCTATAAAAACCTCATGACAGGGATAAACTTTCACAACTCAAAAATTAGCTTGAATGTGAATGGACTGAATGCACCACTGAAAAGACATAGAATGACAAGCTGGATAAAAAAGAAACGATGCAACAATATGGTGTTTTCAGGAGACTCATCTCACCAGAATGGACACTCACAGACTCAAAGTAAGAGGTTGAAAAACAATTTATCAGGAAAGTGGAACACAGAGGAAAGAGAGAGTTGTGATCTTAACATCAGACAAAATGTCCTTTAAGTTAGCAAAAATTTAAAAAGATACAGAAGGTCACTACGTAATGAAGAAGAAATATCAATCCAAAACATATATGCACCCAACAGAGGAGCACCAATCTTTATAAAGCAGCTTCAGTAAACTAAAAAAAGACATTGATTCAAACACTATCATAGCTGGGGACTTAAATACCCCATTAACGACCCTAGATAGATCACTGAGGCAAAAAAATCAACAAGGCAATCTGGAACCTCAAATTGAAGCTTAATAGGCTTAATAGATACCTAGAGAACACTCCACCTAATGAACATGAAATATACATTCTACTCATCATCACATAGAATGTACTCCAATATCAACCACATCTTCAAACGTAAATCAAGCATAAACAAATTCCATGAGATCAAAATACTGCCATGCACCTTCTCAGACCACAATGGAATAAAAATAAATATTAACACCAACAAAGCTACCCCCAAACCCACAAAGACATGGACACTAAACAGCATGATGCTGAACAACTCCTGGGTCAACACAGAAATCAAAGCAGAAGTTAAAAGATTTCTGGAAACAAATGAAAATTAAGACACATCTTACCAAAATCTCTGGGATACCATGAAAGCAGTACTGAAAGATAATTCATTTCTTTATAAACACACATCAAGAAAATGAAAAGATTACCACTTAACAAACTAATAAATCATCTAAGGGAACTGGACAGACAAGACCACCAAAACCCTAACTTCAGCAGAAGAATCCAGATCACCAAAGTAAAAGCTAAAATACAGGTCATAGAAGACAAAAATGTCATAGAAAAAAATCAACGAAACAAAAAGCTGGTAATTTTCTGATGGACCCCTAGCCAGATTGACCAAGGAAAAGAGAGAAAAAGCCCAAATAAACACAATCAGAAATGCAAAAGATCAAATCATAATGTTCCCGGAAGAAATACAAAAAATTATCAGAGATTACTATGCACACCTGTATAGCAACAAACTTGAAAACTTAAATGAAATGGAGGATTTTCTGACATCACACAACCTCCCAAGGCTGAAACAAGAAGAAATTGAGACATTAAATAGACCACTAACAAGCCAGGAAATAGATTCCATCATAAGAAAACTATCCACAAAAAAAGTCCTGACCAGACGGCTTTGCAGAGGAGTTCTACAAAACATACAAAGAGGAGCTTATACCAATCTTATTGAAAGTATTCCAAGCAATCAAAAAAGACAGAACTCTCCCCAAATCATTTATGAAGCTAATATCACACTGATACCCAAACCAGGTAAAGGTCCAACAAAGAAAGTGACCTATAGGCCAGTATCCCTGATGAACACAGATGCAAAAATACTCAACAAGCAAATCAGATCCAACAACACATCTCAAAAATCATCCACCATGACCAAGTAGGCTTCATCCCTGGGATTCAGGGCTGGTTCAATATCTGCAAGACCATAAATGTAATTAAATGCATCAACAGATGTAAAAACAGGAATCATGTAATTATATCATTAGATGCAGAAAAAGCTTTCAATAAAATCCAGCATCCCTTCCTGATAAAAACCTTTGAACTTCTCGGCACAAGAGGGAACATACCTCAAAATATTAAGAGCCATCTATGATAAATCCACAGCCAACATATTGCTAAATGAACAATATTTGTTATAATATTTAGTATCAAAATATATTTGTTCAAAGTTATAAACTATGTCATAGGAGAGTGATTTGTGAAATTGAATTAATAGTCAATGGTTTGATTAATCTTGTTTCCGTTAACCTCACCAGTACATATAAACTATGTAAATTCCCCGACAAGTGTAAGAACTTTTTCAGACTTTAAGCCTAGATGTTCTTTCCTCACAGTGCACATATATAAAATGTTGTTTATAGCAGATGAATCTTAAAAAACAAAGCAAAATTGCATTTTTCATTGTGTGATCCCATATTGGTAAACTAATAGATCCATGAAATATATGGAAGAATTGTATAATAAATTCTTAATCACGATTAATGTCCAGGTGATAAAATCAGATTATTTGTAGTTTTTTGTTGTTTATTTTATGAGGTCTGACAATTAAGTTCTCAAACTCATTGTCTGAGTTCGCCACATATCTCATTGCTGAGTTTCAGTACGGTCACCTTTGAAGTACTCTTCTTGGGAAGCTATGCACCAATGCCAGTGCCTAGTCCTCTCATCAAATAAATTTTGGAACTCTTTTTCTGGAATGGCTATCAGAGCTGTCATCATAGTACCCTTCGTGTCCTGAATATCATCAAAATGTCTTCCTTTAAATGTTTCCTCTATTTTCAGGTAAAGAAAAATGTCACTGGAGGCCAGATCAGGTGAATAGAGAGGGTGTTCCAATACAGTTATTTGTACAGTGTTGCCAAAACATAAGCACATGATGGCAAGTGTGCAAACTTAATTGTCAGTCAGCTCTGATGGTCATTGCAGAAAAAGAGTTCCAAAATTGCTCTGATGGGTGGGTTAGGCCCTGGCATCCGTACATTGCTTCCTGAGGGGAGTGCTTTGAAGCTGACTATAGTGATGTTCAGCAATGAGGTATGTAGCATGTTTTCTAGGATGGTTTGTGAACCTAATTGTCAGACCTTGTATCTTTTCAAAATTTTTCACATTGAATTTTTTTCCTTTTTTTTGTAATAAAAAGGTCAATGAAAAAAATTAAATGTTTTACTTTACCTCTCAGTGCTTCTACTTTTCCAGACTTTCCTTTATATTCTTTCTTGACATTTCTGATTCTGAAATAACAAAAAGTGCTTACTTAGCCAATATATAAGTAAAGTACCACAGGCCATGAATCACTCTTGTCAGAGTGATAGATGCCATCAACCAGTTTTTGTGAAATAAGGGATGGCATGAATAGTCTATTCAGAAAGACAAAGACTTATTTTCCTCTAATCATTTTCCCGAGACAGAAAATACAAGAATCTCTCTAGAAAGTTAAAATTAGACTATTAATACTTTGCCTAGAAAAGTAGAATGCAGTGTAAATTTCCTCACGTTCTTCCTCCAGCCGTAGAAAATTTGGTTCTTTCTCCTATTCAAGATCATCTCATTTACCTATGAGCTTGAACCATCATTGCCTATCCCTTCAAGTCTTGTTCATGAGTCAGACCCTCTAGAGGTCTTAAAGCTTGAAACTTACATTTATCTTATCTGGGTTCCTTTCTCAGGAAACCGACCCTCAGGCCTATAGTATCAATGAATTGATAATCACCAGCCCACGGTATCCAGACCACGAGAGGCCAGCCCTTTCCTTGATTCCTGTTTACCAACTCCTCTTCCTCACAACTCCATAATTCCTGTTTCCTGCATTCCAGCGCCACTAGAAAAACCCCTGACTTCCATGGGACAGGGACACCAGATTTGAGACTAAATCTCCCAAGTAAAAATCCTTTTTTCCTGACAATACTTGTCTCAGTGATGGGCTTTCTGTGGGGTGAGCAACGGGACCCAATCGAACCCCTGGCGTTATAATGAGAAAACAACCAGAATATTCATCATCAGTGTAAAAAGGAGTAAATAAAAGAAGTAGATTCTTGTCTTAGAATATTATATAAAAGTTAGAAATCTGTGCATCAGCCCCTAGTTACCACTATGAATAGATTTCAAAAAGTATAATGTTGTGTGTACAAGCAATATGTAGAAACACAGACAAAACATGATTTTTTTTTACAGATTATTTTTAAAACATACAGAGATATTCCACATATTGTATAAGGCTACATGTGTATGCTGAAATATGTAAATATGAATGAGAAGTGACGACAGCAAATTCACTATAAATTCTGATGAGGGGGAAATAGCATAGAGAGATTAAAGGAGACTTTAAGTAAACACAATATATTGATTAATATAAAGCAAATGAGACAATAGTGTTTATATCTGCTCCACCTGGGTGGTAAATATGTTAACATTAAAAGCTTAAATTTCTTTTGTAATTTTTTAATTTTTTAAGAAGAAAAAATATATGTTCTCTTCCTCAGTTTCCCTGAGCTAGGGTAATTGACACTCTTTTTGACTTCATAACACTTGGTTGATATCTCTATCCCTATATTTGTCAGATTGAATTTTATGAACCTAATTATCTTCTTCCCTGGGCTGTATGCTCCATAAAAGAGAGTGTATTGTTCATCTTTGCAGCCCAAAAAATGAGTATAGAAACAGAAAATGCAACAATGTTTGTTGTATGAATAAATTAAAAAGGGATAAATGGTATTGAATCTGACAAGGTATTTTATTTCATTTTTTCTTTATATAGTAGGATGCCTGTTGAAGTGGAACTTAAATGTTCTATATTAATAAATAAATATCCATCTAGGATCAGCTGGTTGCTTTCAGATTTTAGAGATGAAGACCGCCATCTACATTTGGGACAGACATCTGGCATATGTTCTAGGAATGCTGAATCCTTAGCATATCCTGAATCCTGAATCCTGAATGGTCTACAGTTATAGGAATGTCATATGTGCACACAAATGCCCCCAGAGAGAATGTGATTGGGGGTTATGGATGAGGGGAAGCCAGCTGCAAATAAAACACAGGAAGTTTTACAGAACCAGGATCCTGATTCTGGTTAGACTTCTGCAGGCTTTCTTCCATATCCCCCGATACCTACGGCTTAAAGGTTGCTAGAGAAAACGGAAGAGTTCATTTGTATATAAAGCAGAGTCCACCTAGGAAAAAAAGAAATCAGTACCTTCGTAGCTTTTATATCCATACAAAATGGAATCCACATGTTGGGATTGACTGAAACAAATAAGACATTGTCTAGCTGTGGGGAAGGGCAATGATACTACTGAAAAAGGATGACCGTGAAGAAAGAAGAGATGAAATGTGTGGGTTGGAAACTGTATCTAACGTAGTTTGATCAAAGGATAGCTAGAGACTACCTTGCAGCCCCAGAGCCTACTTCATTGATGACTGCATGTACACCACATTGTCACTAAAGAGCTGTGCTATTGCATGCCTAAGACTAATTTCCTTCCCTGGGTTTTCAGTAGCCTCACACCTCCACCTTTTTAAGAATGCAGACCAAGAGACAGGAATGTCCAGTCAACATGGCATCGATTGGCTAGGGTTGGGGGCAAAACACAGGGGGCAGAGGAATGGGAGAAGGAAGGTGAAAGTGGAAGACATTTCACTTTATTTTCTTGACTATTAAGCAGCAGTAGAACAAAGAAAAATGTTGGATCTAACAGACTTTCTTAGAAGATTGGCTCTGAAAATTATTATAACATGCATGATCATATGATAATAATATAATTTTATTTTAGTGCAGGTGAAGAACTGATGAAACTGGAATTGGGTTCTGGGACATTATTCCTCATGTGGGCTTTCTGGTTTGGATAGAGATTTTCCATGGAGCTCATATACTCCTAGTCCAGGGGAGACACAGGGCTATTGCCGCCTCAGAAAGCTTAACAGAAAATAGGTTAAGAATTACATAGAGGAATCTTGGGTATATAAGTTGGACCAATTCTCTTTGTCTAGGAGGGGGAAGTATTTCCCTTTCTAGTTGTGGTCCCCTTTTTATTCGCTTTCCATTGCTTCCTAGCATATCAACAGTACAGGCGCCAAGAGCATAGATTCTAGAGTCAGATTGTCTGGATTCCAATCTCAGCACTTATGAGTTATGTTACCCTGGGCAAGAGACTTAACGACCAATACTTCATTTTTCTCATTTTCAAACTGGGGGAAATAAAAGCACCTGCCTCATAAGTTTTTGGTAATGATTAACTGTAAGTCAGGTACCCAGTAAGCACTATATGAACGGCTGCTACATAAGCAAATATTTACTATTGAAAGCCCTGATTCTTTAACTTTGTTGCAAATTTTATAGAAAACTCTACAAGGCCCTTTAAAATCCACAGATACTTGAGCTCAATCCCAACCTGCTGAGTTATAGAGCTGATAATCAAGGAGAATTTTCCTTTTGAGTAACAGGAGAAATTGCTGGCGGAACCGTTCAAAGTGATGTTGACAAAACCAAATTTTTCTCCAATATTTGCTTTAGGTTCCTCCTGTTGCTGATGTTTAATAATTCTTTAGCCTTGCACTCAATATATATTAGTATGACCATATGCCTGATCACCTGATGGCTTCTTTTCCTTGGAATTCAGGAGTTACTGGTTCAAAATAATCACCAGAGGGACACTCAGAATCTATTTCTCTCTCGATGACCTTATTATCAGTCCTTTGGTGTTGGAAACAAGTTGACGAATTCAAGAAAAATAATGGAGAGTAATGGTGTTCATTTGTATCTAATGAATCAAGAGACAGCAAGACAACAGATCAGTAATATTAATACAATGATCAAAGAAACCTTATTCACAATAACATGAATGTCTTGAACTTGTAAGCATCATACATAAATTATTTTCCTCTTAACATCTTATTTATTATTGAGAAGAAAACTTGATAATGAAGTAAACAATGATAATTCAAAGGAAATATTATAAAAGTTAAACAACATACTAGAACTTTCAGCAAAGTATCACCAAAGATTTGAATAAATGTGATCTAAAAGATATTTGGAAGAATGAGTGGTACCACACATTTGGGAAAACATAAAGCCTTAATAAAGGACATAAAAATAATTGTAGACATGTTTGTGAACTTAAATAGTTCAACCAACTGGGCTCGATAGCTCACGCCTATAATCCCAGCACTTTGGGAGACTGAGGTGAGAGGATTGCCTGAGCCCATGGGTTCAAGACCAGCCTGGGCAACTTGGTGAGACCACATCTCTACAATAAATCAAAAAACTAGCCAGGCACCGGGCTCGGTGGCTCAGCCTGTAATCCCGCGCCTTTGGGAGGCTGAGGTGAGTGAATTGCCTGAGCCCGCAGGTTTGAGACCCGCCTGGGCAGCAAGACCTCATCTCTACAATAAATCAAAAAATCAGCTGGGAGTGGTAGCACATGCCTGTAATTCCGGCTACTTGGAAGGCTGAGGCGGAAGGATCGCTGGAGCCCAGCAGGTCGAGGCTGCGGTGGCCGTGAACATGCCACTGCACTCCAGTCTGGGCAACAGAATGAGACTCCAACTCAAAAAAATAATAAACAACAACAAAAAAATTGACCACAGTAATATAATCGAACATAGTACTGAAATCTATGCATTCAGTTATAGATATGTGAATGAAAAATACATGGAGAAATTATATTTGTTCAGAATACATTTATGATCATTAAAAAAATTTTTTTAGATAAAAAATGAAGTATATTTATTATTAAGGGCCTTCCACCTATGAGCCAGAAGTAATAGAAAGACAGGAATATGTACAAGAAAGTACATAGAAACATATAAGACAATCTTAAATATAATCAAAGTGGATGAAATATAAAATAAAAGAAATAAGAAGATTGTGCAAGGAAAAAAGCATTTTGATGTTAATATATGTGAAAAAAATCTGGACTTATGTGAAATTTTTGATTGTTTGCAAGATCATCTAACTGGCCAATTAATATACTTCTGCAAATATAAACAATATATAAAACATTTTGAGAATAATACTGAACAAATAGTTCAAGTAATGACCCTACACCAGCCAAACCATTATCTTGTTCTGATACAAATTCTAAATATCACTCTTTCAAAACATTGTCAGGGATCCTTGAAGAAGTAACATTATTTAATTACTATATAATTATAATATGCATTTTAATGATTATAATATAATAGTAATATGTTATTTAGTGAAATCAGGAGAATAAATATTTTTACATAAAGAGTGCCTTGGACCATTAAAACTATGAAGTAGAAATAAAGAACTTGAGTGAGATGGGAAATATTTATTTTTCCATTAAAAAAATATATTTATATAGCCTGAAAAAATATATTTAAAGTAATCAATAACTGGAGAGGTCAGAAAAAACTCACTATTACTTACAGGGAAAAATTTTGTCAAAGTATAATGCCAATATCAAGTAGATAAGACCATCAAAAGTCAGCATGAAAAAAGTTGCTATCATTACATACGAGTCTCCAGAAGGGTCAGGAAAAATTACACCATTCAAGTTATAATCCAGTTTGATAACCTAGGATTTGAACAAAAACGATAGGAAATGTTAATTAAATAAATAATTTGACCTAACAGCAAAAATTGTTAATTTATTAACTGACTTTTTCAAGAAACCCTTATTAGTTACCAATCAGATATATAAATAAGCCAATAAGGCTATCGGTCCAAGTTTCTTATTTTACAGTGATCAAAAAATATTAGAAGTAAACATTTATTTGCAAATACAATGCTCTAAGGATCGTATTTAAAATTATAACTCACTTGCTTGTTTTATAAAATCATTGCCATGTTGCAAAATACACAACAACAAAAATACAAGTTTTAGGTAGAATATGAGAAATTTCTTGCAGTATTTAATTAGAATAATAGGAGAACTTACCTCGCTTCTAGTTATCACTGCAAACAAAAAATCACATTTATGATTCTGCCAGACAACAGCTGCTATGTACCAGGCATATTCTGAGAGTCTTTGATGTTATCCCACTGATAAGCCTTATTATTGTCATCCACATTTTACATGTGGTGAAACCAAGGCACAGCAATGTTGAGTAGCTTAACCAGCCAAAGTCAAAATCACATTGTGAGGAAGGGCAAAGCTGAGCTCATCGCAGAAAGTCCTACTCCCAAGTCCTACCACACTATAAGATTTCTCAGTCTACATTAAAATGTTAACGTTTTTAAGTTGAGTTTATTATAGGAATGCAAAACTGAGTCAACACTTGAAAACCAATAAAAAAAAGAAAAGAAAATCAGTCAATGGAATTACATACAAATAGATTAAAGAGGAAAATAGTGTGAGCAATCTAACAGGTGCAGGTAAAATTCAATCTCTATTCATAGTAAAGAAAATCTCTTCACAAACTAAGAAGATAGATCTTCCTTAATCTGGTGGATTAGATGCACTAAGACCAACAACAAGCATCATGCCTCAAGGCAAATGTTGAAAGCTTTTCCCTTGCCTGCATTTTTCTTCAATATTGTACTAGAGGTCCTGACCTGTGCAGTAAAGTAGGAAATATAAATAAAAGGCACAAGGACTATGAAGGAAAAATAGATACTATTGTTATTTATAGACAACATGGTTATACATAATTCTAATATAAAACAGAAAAATATAGGATTAACTAAGATTAAATAACAAGAACTCTGGATATATCACCAATGTACAGAAATCAGCTGCATCTCTTCACATTAATAAAAAATATTTAGAAATAAGAATTTAAACACAGATGCTATTTATAATAACATGAAAAAGGAAAAAGCTTTGGAATAAGTCAAACAAAAAAGTGCAAGACCTCTACGCTGAGAATTAAAAATGTTATTAAGGACAATTGAAAATGACCCAAAAGAACATAAAGATGTTATGTTCATAGAAAAAAAAGTGTCAATTTTCCTCAAACTAAATGAAAAATTCAACTGCATCAAAATCTTAATAGCTTAAAATTGCATACCTGTGAGTATATAACTTGATAAGCTGATTCTAAAATTTACATCATTGCAAAGAAATCAGAATAGCTAAGACTCTCTTGAAAAAGGGAATGAATTGGTAAAACCGTTGCTTCCAATATCAAGACACATTATAAAGCAAAACAATTAAGACAACGTGACAATACAAGAATAGACATGTGGGTCAATATATGATTGGTTGAGTTACTTCAAGGGAAATTCTGCAATAATTTGAGGAGAGGACGGTCTTTTCGATAAATGGAGCTAAATCTTTGGATATTTATGTAGCAAAATTATATTGTCCCTACCTATACAACCACAAAAGGCATTTCAAAATGGATTTTATATTTAATTGTAAAAGCTGAATCAATCTATGTCCTATGAAAAATAAGGAGACTATCTTTGTAAGTTTGGTGTAGGCAATGATTTCTTCAATTGATAAGGCCAGGTGCAACAGCTCACACCTGTAATCCCAGCACTTGAAGAGGCTGAGGAAGGAGGAATACTTGAGCCCAGGAGTCTGAGACCAGCCTGGACAACCTAGCAAGACATCATTTGCACAAAAAAATCAAACAATGAGCCAGGGATGGTGGCATATGTTTATAGTCTCAGCTACTCGGGAGGCCGAGGCAAAAAGATCACCTGTACCCAGAAGGTCAAGGCTGTGTTGAACCATGAACATGCCACTGACTCCAGCCTGGGTGGCAGAGTGAGACCTCAACTCAAAAATAATAATAATAGTAAATAAAATAAATTATATACAAAAGCATTCTGCATAAAAATAAAACTTGCAAACTTGGACTTCATAAAATTACGAAGTTCTGATTGTCCACAGTACCACTAAGACAGTAAAAGAGCTAGCAACAAATAACTTAAAAAGGTGTAATATCCAGCTTGTATAAAGAATTTTTATGAAGCAATAAGAGAGAAAATTCAGTGGGAAAAATGGGGAAAAATCTGCATAGGCAATTTACAGATTGAGAAAATCCAAAAACCACTAAGCATATAAAAGATACTCAACTTAATAATCAGAGGTGTGCAAATTAATACCATAATGATATATCACTACATAGCTATCAGAATGGCTAAGATATGAAAGACTGACAATACGAAATGTTGATGAAGTTTCAGAAAAGCTGGAATTCTGAAACACTGTCGATGTAAAAGTAAACTGATGCAACCACTTTGGAAGAATATTTGACTTCTAAGATTAATATTTGTATACTCTAGGCCCTACTATTCTGTTTGTTACATTAACAATAATTCTAACTAAAAACAGTTATAATTCCTAGTGAGTGCCTATGTTCACTAGGAAACATATGCAAGAATAAAAGTAAGAGTTTTGTTAAAAATAGTCAAAAACTAAAAATTATTGTCATCTATCAGTAAGAAAATTGATAATATATTCACACAACAGGAGACTACATAACACTATGCTATAGCTACACACAAAACTGTGCTACTATCTAAAAATGTAGTGTTGGGTGAAAACAGCCAGTTTTCTAAAATACATTTTGTATAATTTCACTTACATGAATTTGGCAATAGACAGAACTAAACATCGTATTTAGGATTGCATACTTAGGTGGCAATAAAAAGCAAGGAAGTGACTATGAGAAAACATTCACCTTTAGGGGAAAAGAGTATTCAGAGAAGCTTAGGAGTGGTGGTCACGTTCTATTCCTTGATTCCAGTCGTGGGTACTTTGCTTTAGTTGATCATTATTTGATAAAGTGGAATTTGTGTTTTGAAAGTCTTTCGTGTTTCAATCACAGTTCATAAAATAAAATGGTTTTTTTGGGTTTTTTTGAGTTGGAGTCTCACTCTGTCGCCCAGACTGGAGTGCAGTGGCTGCTCCCGGCCACCGCAGCCTCGACCGACCTGCCGGGCTCCGGCGATCCTTCCGCCTCAGCCTTCCCAGTAGCTGGAATACAGGCGTGTGCTGCCACGCCCGGCTGATCTTTGATTTATTGTAGAGATGAGGTCTCGCCAAGTTGCCCGGGCGGGTCTTGAACCTGCGGGCTCAGGCAATCCACTCACTTTAGCCTCCCAAGGTGCGGGATTACAGGCTGAGCCACCGAGCCCGGCTAATAAAATGTTTTCAAAACAAGCTTTCATGACACTTTTTAATAAACCACAGAAACTTTTCATTAAGCGAAGGGAAAATAAACATATTTGCAGACGGAAAAAAAAACTAGAAAAAAAATACTTCAAAATGAAAATGCATCTGAGGGGAAAATCTGGAAGATTTTTGAAATTTAAGTTTTCTTGTGAGATGACAATTTTTCTATAATGTATTAATGATATTTTCAAATTTAGTCTTATGGTAGAAAAATTGTTTAGCATAAAACACCTTAGTTTAAGATAGAGTCAATTATTAAGAGTGAAGTATCAAATTCTTATGAAGTTTCAGTAATAAACCAATTAACTATGCTTTTCTTTTCTTTTTATTTTTTTTTTGAAAGTGTTCAGACTGTTTTATTGCATTTTTTTTTTTTTTTTAGCACAGGCAATGCTGGAATGTCTGACAGTGGTTAAATATGCTCTTACCTGAACCATTCCAGTAGTAAAAGCAAAGGGGCTACATATACTTAAAATCCACTCCAGTGATGAAGGAATTTGTTTAGAGAATGCAGTGAATCCCAAACACCCCCAAAAGAGGATAAGAAAAAACACAACCAAACTGGTGAGGACAGCTTTCTTCAACAACACACTTGTCAGGAACGCTAAAGGTATCTGAAAGAGAGAGAAGACGTTTAGGTGGTGTATGTATTTAGTTCACCGAGAATCACTGGCAGCACAGTAAAATTAAGGATTTTTATATCATGACCTATTAATCAGTGGTGAAGTCATGAAAAGATGAAGGTATCATGATTCTGCCAAAGGATCTTTATTTGTCTCCTCAAATACTAGGCTTTTGTTACTGAAAAATGGATGGGAGGAAAAGCTGGAAGAGCTGAGGGTAGGGTAGAAATGCCAACTTGAAAAGATTTAATGAAGCAAATTAATGTACTAAAAGGGACATCTGCATACCCTGTGCAGAAAACATTCTGGAAAGTGGAGGGAATGAGAAGCAATTATTCAGAGAAGCAAGAAGGGAGTGAGGTCAGAGTGAGATGGAATATCAGGGGAAGTCAAGATGTTGTGAGTGGCCACCATGTGGTGGGAATTCTTAGGGACAAAAGATGGGTCCACTCTTCAAGAATAGCTTCCATAAATATCTGGAAAAGTCTTTGATATTTTTAGACTAAAAAATGTAAAAAAAAATTCTGATGCATCATTTGATTATTTCAACCTTTGTGCAAAAAGAAGAAGTCCAATTTTATCTGGGTTACATCATCTTCTCATGCCATCGAGACTTTCTCAAGCTGGCTACAAGAACATGAAAGAAGCAATTGCAGAAACTGAGCAGGGCATTAATGTTTGCTACATGTAGCTAAGACTGAACGCACAGGAAGTGACAATAAATGTACAAACTTACCAAAGACAAGCCATATAAGAAAAAGAGTAGAAATATGACCATGAAGCCAGTCATCTCTATAATTTGGGTGGATGTTATAATAATTGTAATGAGTATGGAAAAAACGAAGATGAAGCCAATATAGAGTAAACCCCAGGAGAACCTAAATAAATACAAAAAGTGAGTTGAATTAACTTTATTATGAAACATTTAACACATACAAACGCATCACAAGAACAATGTAATAGTTACCTTTGTACCTTCTGGATTAACAACACTATTCGACAGCAGAAGCTCACTGTTCACGCTTTTTTTCACGATTCTCCTTCCCTATACTCACCGTGCATTTTAATTACCTTTACCATATTTGCTCACAAGAGATGACAGGTACTGAACACTGGTACAGGCACTGACCAACAGGAAAGGATACCATGGTCAGTTAAGGGCCTGTGAACAATGGCATGTTTGTGTTGGTGCCTCCTGGTCGGGCATCAGTTCTGTATGCATGTGTCATATAAACAGTACATTGTATAAACAGTATCATACTGCATGTATTCTCTGCAATTTGTCTTTATCAGTCACAGTTAACAATATTATACAATGCTGTGCAATATTTCATTGTGTGAATATAATCCAGTGTTCTCTCGGGAGCCCATGAAAATGTTGGTTGTTTTCAATTTCTTTTTTATTGCAATGTTGCTAAGAATGTTCTTGCACTTGTCTTTTTTTGAAAAATAGACAATAAAATGCCCGAGCTTCTCATTTTACAAATAAGGAAACGGCAATTCCTACCATGAGTTAATGTTTTATCCAAGGTCACAAAATAAACCAGCAACAAAGCTCATATAAAGCTGCAGTCCTTCTCTCTGTCCACAGCTCTTTCTTCTACTTAAAATTAATTAGATAAGAATTCAACAGCTGAGGTATATATCAAAAGTATTAAAACCAGAGCCTTGCGTCAATATGTCCCAGTAGAACTTTTTTTTTTTTTACTGCTGGATTTACTGCTCATTTGACTTTATAAATTTCCTATAATTAAAATGACTCAGCTATGTTAGAAACATTGGTGTTTTTTTAAAAAACATAGCACATTCTGCAGAGCACACTTCCTGAATACAGAAAGAAACTACTAAGGTAAGAACTGGAAATGCAGAGGGTAGGGGAATTGCAAAGGAAAAAGAAATGACCATTACTTAGCAAAAACAACTAGTCACAAGGGTGGGGTGTGGAGGGGATATTAGTAAGCCTGTAAATACTTGCTTGCTAAAAGTAAAGCAATTCAGACATCACACAAGGAATAAATACTGATTGCATTCATGTTTATTACATTAGTCAAAAAAATTGTCATACAGTGCATTTCCAATAGCTACCCTGCCCTTAGCAGAAACATTTCAAGATCTTTTTCTTTCTTAGTAAAACTAATAAAAGGTTTATATGAATTCATTCTGCTAAGTTTTAGGTTACATGCATACGAAGAATCATTTATCCTTAGAATGAATTCACACCCATGTGTCCACTACCTTCCTGACTTTGCTATAGGGTTGACTGGTCCCAGACTATAGGACTATTCCCACAGGGCATGCTCTGGATAGAAGGAAGGCCCTCTTACAGAGCTTCCCTCCTAAAATATTCCATGGTGACTCTAGTCCATTCCTTTTGATTTCTCAAAGTTCCACTGCAAAAAACTTCTCTCTCTCTCTTTTTTTCTTTTTTATCTTTTAAGACATAGCTTCCTCTTTTTCTAGTATACAATTTATGTGCTTTAGAATTAAAATTCTCTCTGTTAATAACATGCCTCTTACAGAAAAGTAAAAATTTTCTAAAACATAATCTTATTTCAGAGAGCACACGGTTAGGCCGGGTGCGATGGCTCATGCTTGTAATCCTAGCACTTTGAGAGGCGGAGGTGGGAGGGTTTCTTGAGGACGAGAGTTTGAGACCAGCTAGGACAACATAGCAAGATCTTTTCTCTATGCAAAATACAAAAATTAGGTGGACTTAGTGGCACACAACTGCAGTCCCAGCCACTCTCAGGAAGCTGAGGTGGAATGATTGCCTGAGCTCAGGAGTATAATCATGTCACTGCACCCCAGCCTGAGCAACAGAGTGGGACCCTGGCGCACGCACATATGCATGAGAGACAGAGAAAGAGAGGGAGGGAGGGGGAGAGAGAGAGAGAAAAGATATTATTTTTCTAGGTCTTTATTTCTACTCCTTAATCATTTGTTTTGACTATAATGGAAATACACAATAGATAGACACACACATATGTATACACATATATTTTAAAAATCACTTTAAATTATTTGTAGAGCGGAGCAAGATGCAAACATTACTATATAAAGCCCAGGTTCTTATTAAGGCCTTCCTGCATGCCAGCCTACATGTCGTATGTCCTGGGCACATTATATAGGCTATCTCAGTTACCAACATACAGTATGCAGTGGCTCCAAAGAGTTTATGCCGGGTGGCCAAGCCCCTGAACACAAGTTAGTCTTTATAAGATTACATATTCTTCAACATGAGGAGGCCTGAATAAATCAAGGGATAACAGTGCAAAAGAGCTCCAACTGGGGCACCCAGGGTGGAGTCCAGCTCCGGCACTTGCTCTGGCATCAGGCAATTCTCTCATTCTCTTTGACCATCAGTTTTCTTGCATACAAACTAAATGACAGTTCTTCTAACACAGGGTTGGCTGAAGACACTCATGGCACAGTAAAATTGCTCAGCAAATTACAGGCACTCTTTTGCATGGCCAAATTTAACAAAGAATAAATCAAAAATTCAAAACACAAGAAGAAGCAGCCAATGCATCAAGTTTAAGCCACGATGTTCTGAAGCAATCACATTTCTTTTGCTGTTTCTTGATTTTCCTGTGTTAATTAATTTGCACTACTTGAGTGAGTCACTCACCAGAATGCTGGATCTTGTAGGCCCATCATTTTCATCAAATCCTTCTTCTTTTTCCGCTCTTTTGTGACATTGAGTGACAAAAAATACATTGGTGGGAAGAAATAAAGCAAGCAGTATAAAAGAAACAACTCATTTTGGAGCGTGTGTTTAGAAATAAAAGGCAACGTCTTCATATTTATCGCAGTAACGGACATCAGCTCCTTCACCACGGAGCGGTTTGTTGTCATCTAAAGAAGAGTTTAAACAAACAAGATCATTCTTTGGAGAACAGAATCTGTTGAAGACTAAATAAGTTCTGTGGATTATACCCATGCCAACTTCTTGGGTTTACTACCGCACGGTAGCTAAGCATGAGGATGTCCTTGGGGCAATGGGATGAAGGGTCCATGGATCTCCCTGCGCACCCTTTTGGCAGTTTCCTGTTGATTCTAGAATCACTGCCAAACTGGTGTGTCATTTAAAAATAAATAAGTAACGTGTCCCTCTGGCTGAACATCTGCTTCGTTATATAGCCATGCAAAAACCTGACTATATATCATTGCTGTGGCTTGAATGTGTCCTCTCCAAAATCCATGTTGAAACTTAATCCCCACGGTGGTGGTCCAGTATTAGGAGGTGGGGCCTGCTAAGAAGAGGTTCATCCATGAGGTGGAGCTCTCATGAATGGATGACTGCCATACAACAGGGCCCGAGGGAACCAGCTAAAACCCTTTTTGCCCCTCTGCTCTTCCACCACGTGAGGACACCCGGACGACTGCTGTGTCTTCACTGAGGGAGGGGCCGTCCCCAGACTCAGAACCTGCCGGCATCTTCACCTTGCTCTTCTCAGCCTCCAGAACTATGGGAGATACGTTTTCGTTCTTTATAAAGTTCCCAGTCTCAGGTATTTTGCTGTAGTAGCACAAATGGACTAAGAAATAATCATTCACTGGGTGCAGTGGCTCATGCCTGTAATCCCAGAACTTTGGGAGGTGGAGACAAGAGGATTGCCTAAGCCCAGGGGTTCGAGACAAGCCTGGACAAGTGGGTCGAGAACTCGGCTCTAATAAATCAAGAACAATTTGCCGGGCGTGGCGGTGCACTGGGGTGGGAGGATAGCCTGACCCCAGCAGGTAGAGGCTGCAGTGGCTGTGAGCATGCCGCTGCACTCCAGCCTGAGTGACAGAGTGAGACTCCGACTCAAAAAGGAGGGAAGGAAGGAAGGAAAGAAGGAAGGAAGGAAGGAAGGAAGAAAGAATCTCTCAGAAAAATCTTGATGAATTTAGAGTTAGTTTACATTAATTATTATAATTTTCAAATTAAGCACTTACTTCTATAATAGCAGCGTTAAGGGCAGTTTGTAAAGTCACAAATCCTCTTTTCCAGTATTTGGTCAATTCACATGGAAACTCATAATATACATCCCAACAATGAACTGTAAGCACAGAGAAAAGTGCAAGAAACATTACGAGATGAGGGCAGTTGGAAAAGATGAAACAAGAATCCCATAGAAAACAATCTACAGGAGACTTCGCCAGTCAGAACTTTTAACCACATAAAAGCAGGCAAATAAATGAAAGTTCTTAACACGGCAATTGTATGCCTGCAGATAACAGCACGCATAGAAAGTCTTCAGAAATAAAAAGGTAAAAGCTAACATTCTGCTCTAGGCATAACGGACTCTTTTGACTACATTGTCTACAACTCCTCTACAATCCATTATCTGGGCTGCAGCCAGGGCGTCCCTTAAACCGGGAAACGTAATCACATCTTTGCCCTGATTAAAGCACCTCAAAGACTCTGTGTCGCCGAGGTTTTTCGAAGATGCCGCAGGATCTAGCCCTTGGCTGATTTCAGCTTCATTCCTCCATCACATTACTTTGCCTGTTCTTATTTCAACCCCACTGCTTGTACTTCCAGATCTACTAACAAATGTCCTTTCTCACCTTAAGGCCCTCGCACTTACCTTTCTTCTACCTCAAGCAAAATGGCTCTAGCAGCTCACACCTGTTATTCCTTTAGGTCTCAGCTTAAACATCATTTGCCCAGGTAGGACTTTCCTAAGCCCACAGTGTATTAGGAACCAATGGTCTAAGGGCCCATGAGCACCTTTCCCTGAGCTTGTCATTAATTTCTCAAAATCTGTGTCTTCTACCAAACTGGAATCTCACCTGGCTGGGACCTGTCAGTCTTGATCAACCCTGCATCCTTCAACACATGCACCTGTGAACTCAATAGATATGTGTTGGATGACCCAAAGTTTTTTAAAAGTTAGGCTCTAGTGGGAACATATGATTGACCTTGGAATAAGTTTAGCAATAAAATGTGCTTTCTCAATTTTCTCATGTGCCATTTAAAGTATCTCGGATGCCCATTCCTACCGGTTCTTTCTGTTGAAAACATGAAAAATGTCACATATGGAAAGTCACCTGAGAAATCTTCTTCTTTCAAAAATGGAATGTCATACCCGTCAGGAAATTTTAACTTATAAGAGAAAGCATCGTTAAAAACAATTCCCACAGCAAATGGAAAATGTTCTAGAAGTATTTCATTCATGTTTTTCTTATTTGGTGCCCCAATGACCGTTCCTCCTGTGAATTACAAGGTAAAAACAGACACACAAAATTGTTACAGAATTTCACCAAGCTGCCACTGTATATTTTTCATTAAACAAATTAAAACCATCTTCTATTTAAATCAAAACTGAACTAAAAGACAAGGAGGACAGTTTAATTTAGATGTTTTATATGCTAGAATCAGAAGACATACATAATAATTGTTTTCCTTTCACAATGAAAGGTATCAAGGCAATTTTCAGATACATAAAAACATTATGCCAGAAAGAGCATGCATAAGAGAATTGGGGTACAAATGAAAGAGGTAATTGTATTAACTGTATCGTTGAGAATTCCATATTTCAGATTCACTGAAGTAAAGACAATTTACATGGCTTTTGCCTTACGCAGAGAACAAGATAACAAAGCAACTCTATTTTTAATGCTCAATATTTCACTTGTTAGGAATCAAGAGGAACTAGCCAGACTGTATCCAATCCACCAGTGACTGAAATACGCATTTTGTTCCTGGGTTACATAACGATTTCATTTAGAATGAAGACCTTTAAAGATGTCTACAAATTATATGATATGCAGAGTAGAATAATCTTCAGATTAATTTACCTTTACTCTCATAGTTAGGAAATTATTATTCACTAATCATGATCTAGTTTCTTTTATTTAGATGTCTTTCCTCAAACTATCAAGTTTTTTTTTTTTTTTTTTTGAGTTGGAGTCTCACTCTGTCGCCCAGACTGG